GATGTTCCTCTGTTCATGTTTTTTGTTTGTTGCGGTTGCGCCCGACTCAAGAGCCGCGTGGCTCACAGGGCTATCTCCATCTCCATATATATAAAAGGCAAAGTTGTGAATGTGTGTTGTCTGTTCAAAATGTTTAGCGTACTTCCCGTTATGCAACAAACTTGAAATTTGCCATGTGGGTACTTTCCAGAATGTACACCATGCAAACATTATAAAAATACACTTTTGCTTTTTTTTTGGGGGGGGGAGCTCAATAATGCATTTATGTTTTGCACGGCAAGTAAGCTGTGACGTCAAATCTGTCACGTGACCCGCGCATGTGGTAGCGTAACGCATTGTAGTGTAGTGGTTAGCGCGCTGTCTGTGTGTGTATATGTGTATGTGTGTCTGTCTGTGTGTGTGTGTGGGGGAGCGGTAGTGTAGTGGTTAGCGCGCTGTCTGTGTGTATATGTGTATGTGTGTCTGTGTGTGTATGGGGAGCGGTAGTGTAGTGGTTAGCGCACTGTCTGTGTGTGTGTATATGTGTGTGTGTGTGGGGAGCGGCAGTGTAGTGGTTAGCGCGCCGCGCTACGAACCCGGCGACCCGAGTTCCATTCCCGCTCACGGCCACCACCGGTGACGATTATTTCAACTGCTCCTGGGCCCTCCCCTAGGTCGACTCAGCCTCAAACAATTAACTGGTGTGTCTGAACATCGCCACTGGGGAGACAAAGGCCGCCGGGCGTGGTGCTGGCCACCCACCCCCTCGTGTACCTAATAAATTACTTGAAAGTTAAACACCAGACGCAGGTGCAACGTAATCTTCACGTGCGTCTGGGATTAGGAGGGAACTAAAGCGGGGAGAGTGATTACAACTTGACTTGGAGCACGCGAGTGTCGTCGTCACATCTACCCCTCTGTTTCAGGAACGAAACGGGAGGATTTCTCCACACATCTGGCTGTCGCCTGATGAAGCCGGTTGTAATTACTCGGATTGTAAATGTTGTGTATCTGCTCTCCAACACACCCTGTACTAGGAACGAATTGGTCACGTTTTGTTTACGTGACAAAACTTGCTGCTTGGCTGTCGGGTGGTGGCGGGTTTAACCACACATTTATTAACGCGATCGAACCGCCAAAGAGAACCTGCATCGTCTTGAAATAGAGTTTCGAGTCCGGGATAACGCCTAGAGATTTAAACTTGTAAACTTGCGCAATAAGGGTGCGAGCCCAGTTCCGCAATCTGTATAGGTGGTGATGCATGTTTGAGGCAGCCGAATAATCACATAACTTTGGTCTATTAAGCATCGAGAACTAGTTTCGAGGACATTACGTTGAAGTTCATAGAAGTAGCGCTGTGGACGATATCGTAATTCCACGGCATTTCCGGTTGTCATCAGAGCTGTGCAATCGGCGAAAAGTTTAATCCCGGAGTGCAGAGTGTCTCCTACTAGCTCTGGTCTGGTCACAGTGCCTGGTACTGGCTACAATACCTGGTCACAGTGCCTGGTACTGGCTACAATACCTGGTCACAGTGCCTGGTACTGGCTACAATACCTAGTCACAGTGCCTGGTACTAGCTACAATACCTGGTCACAGTGCCTGGTACTGACTACAATACCTGGTCACAGTGCCTGGTACTAGCTACAATACCTGGTCACAGTGCCTGGTACTAGCTACAATACCTGGTTAGAGTGCCTGGTACTGGTCACGGTGCCTGGTACTGGTCACCGTGCCTGGTACTGGTCACCGTGCCTGGTACTGGCTACAATACCTGGCTATCTACTGGTCACCGATCCAGGTACTGGCTACAATACCTGGCTAGCAACTGATCACAGTGCCTGGTTCTGGTCACAGTGCCTGGTAGTGGCTACAATACCTGGCTATCTACTGGTCACCGTGCCTGGTACTGGCTACAATACCTGCCTAGCAACTGGTCACCCTGCCTGGTACTGGTCACAGTGCCTGGTACTGGCTACAATACCTGGCTATCTACTGCTCACCGTGCCTGGTACTGGCTACAATACCTGGCTAGCAACTGGTCACCGTGCCTGGCACTGGCTACAATACCTGGCTATCTACTGGTCACCGTGCCTGGTACTGGTCACAGTGGCTGGTACTGGTTGTTTACTAGTCACCAGTGACTTGTACAGGACACGGTGTTTTGCAGCAGCTCTCTTTGCCTCTGGGGTGGTTGGAACTTGCGTGCTTGGCTAGCCCTGGGTTGTTTGTATCCAGCGGTGGTTGTCTTTTAAGTTCGGCGCATTGCTCATCGTCGTTAGCCGTGGTCAATCCACTGCTGGATGACGCCTCCCCAAACGGCCCAGCGAGGAAAACGCCCACGGGCGTTTTGGGTTTCGTGTGCGAATTTATCTTCTTAATTGTAGACACGCGCCACGTGTGAATAAGGGGTAGAACTTGATGTTTACGTGACGCTGAATTGTCTTAATTAGTTTTGTACGTGGTTACTAACAAGCGGTTGGATTGTTGCGGAAACTAGTGTCAAGATACGGTTGTTATTTTTTAATTGAGAAGTTTTGTTGAATGTTCCTCCTCGTGCTCAATCCGCGCTGCCGCTCGTTGTTCTCGCCTCGCCCTTCCCCTGCAACAAACCTCCCCCCTTCCACATTGAGCAGTCACCTTCGCTCACTTAAGTTTCCACTCCTCACTCCAAACTCACTGTTACCCCGAGCTCAACCCCACGAAACTCCCTCTTCATAACCCGTCACTTTTCCCACTTCACATTCCCATTGCGTGGCTTTCAATCATTCATTCATCATTTGCCGCCATCAATTTCGCTTTCAACAAATTCACGCATCAGATTCGCCCCCCAGTGCACCATTGTTAATTAGGTTGTGAAGCGACTTGGTGAAGGCGTATTATGAATCCCTGAAAGGTAAGATATTGTTTTATATTTTTATTATTTTATCGTTTCCCTTCTACGTGACTTTACCGAAAGAACCAAGAATATGAATCCCTGCAGTCATGAAAGCTTTAAATCAAAATTTAAGATGTGTTGTTGGGTGGTTGTCTTTTGTGTTGTGGAAATTAGCAGTGAAATAAAAATGACTTTTTAAAATGGTGAGAGTTGAATACTTTCATTGCTCGGATTCACCACCTTTGTAGTCCATGTCCAATCTTTGACGTTCGAGTCCCTGGGCAATTTCGGTCAGTCTCCCTCCCCTTCCGCCTTTACACCAGGGTCCGCCTCGTGTGAGATTTCAACTCATTCTCTGGCACGGCAGTACTTCAGCCCAAACCCAGAGCTCTACCACTCGGCCACCAACAGTGTGCCCTGCCAACTCTGTTGCTTGTGGGGCCAAATCATCTGAGGAGATAGTCGTTTTTATGTAATGTAGCTTTCATCCACCAGATGGCTGGAGGGGAGATTTACACTCAAGCTATTGGTTGCACCAATCAACTTGGTCCCGTGAGAACTCGCCAGTCAACATGTTTTGGGGTATAAAATAACACAATCCGTGGTGTGGATTTGAACCCAGGGCTCACCTGTAGGAACGAGGGTTCTACAAGCCCAGGACCCTACTGGTTGAGCCACGCTGTAAGGCCTGGTGGCCATGTGGTTTTTGGGGTACATATCCCTTCATGGTGGTGAGAACACAATTCACTGTATGCAAGTTCATAAATAGGTGTTACCTACAGATGACAGTAAATACTCTTTCAGATGTTTTCGAGTTAAGCAGCTTCCCCAAACCTCTGGTTGGAGTTTCGGAGAACGTGGGGGGAAAAAAAAACACATGCGTAGGTACAACAAGGATAACACTGAACATTCCACGTTTTACAAAAATCTATTGTTGCACTGCCATCCTCCTGCCCAAAAAGCAGCTTACACTGACAACGCCCGATGTTCCTCGGCAGCCTCCCAATCCAAGTGTCAATCGCACGATGCCTCCACCCATCTGCTGACAGCGTCCTCTTGTCAAAGATGGTCCCGGAGCCCTCGCGTTGCTGACCGTGGTATGGGTCCGTCACTGATCCAAGTTGGTCCGGTGGACGCGACGATGACGAATCCGCTTCAATTGTCCAGAGTTTGCACCCGCTCTTCTCAAACATCCAAGCCCAAGCCTCACACTATCCTCGTCCTCTCGTGCACTGGCCGGTACGTTGAACTTCTTTCGCACCGTACGTAGCCAACCGTGCGGAACGGAGGTGCGGGGGGAAGGACAATAAACTATACACACAAAAAGCAGTTCGAAAGAAATGCGTTTTCAATCTCGATGATTTAAAAGTGCAAGGCTCCCAGTGACTTGGCGATGACACTTGGTGCATTCAGGACCATTTGGTCTGAGCAAACGTACTTGAGAAAATGGGCCCATGCGCCTTTTGCATATACTGCGTACACAGTTTATGTACCGTATAACAAGACACATTTCACCCATGCTACTCTACTTTGAAATAAACTTTATTAAAGTATTGCTCTCGTGGTGCAAGTGAGTGATGCAAAACGCGTCTCGTCTCGTTGACCGTAAACACGGCACGCGCAGGAGGATGGGCAACTTCCAGAACAGAGGACTTGCATACACACACAAAGTACTCACACACACACACAGTACTCTCACACACACACACAGTACTCTCACACACAGTACTCTCACACAGTACTCTCTCACACACACAGTACTCTCACACACACACAGTACTCTCACACATACACAGTATTCTCACACACACAGTACTCTCACACACACAGTACTCTCACATAGTACTCTCACACATACACAGTACTCTCACACACACAGTACTCTCTCACACACACAGTACTCTCACACACACAGTACTCATACACAGAGGACTCGCACACAGAGGACTCACACACATACAGTACTCGCACACAGAGGACTCACACACACAGTACTCACACACAGTACTCGCACACACACACAGTACTCACACACACAGTACTCGCACACACAGGACACGTGCAACTTGCACACACGTGGAACTTAAGCGAACAAGGATATACACGTATTCCATATAGATCCTTGTCTATAAGCCACCTTATATCCGTTTGATGTTTTATTAATCTTGTTATTGTACGATTATCGGTCTAAAGGTAAACTGCCCCGAGCCAACATGCGCTGCAGGGAATTTATGACTTAACACTGATTTGTTTGCACAATATTTTCGACCTCATGTTTCGACGCGATTTTTTTGTTCTCCGATTTGTTTGCTTAATTGCTAGACATTTTTTTCTGTTATGTTGCTGACCCAGGTCAGTCAACTCTTGCATGTACCACTTTTATATCCTGGTCTCCCGAGTGCTCGCCTGGTTATGCGAAAATAAACTCAAAACGTAAAAATTACCCGCATCGCACTTAAGACACAGGGCTCGCAAAAACAGTACACAACGTGAGACCCCCCCCCACACGAGGCTCGCTCTCTCGCACCGTGTCCCACGCCGTGCCCGAGGAGACTTGCGCTCACACACGTCAGGAACCCGCTCCCGGACGGGACCGACCGCGACTCGGGATGTGACGGTGGGCGCCCGTTCGGCAGGGCGACAATTCCGAAACGACGATCGACTCGGCAAGGTGCGTCGAATTTCGCGTGCCGCCAAACCGATTAGCTAAATCCCACGGACGTCTCGCAGGCACAGCTCCAGCTCACGGAAACTGAGGTCGCCTAAAAACACTCGGGAGTGGGGGGTGGGGAGAATTTGTTTGAAACAAAATGCAAAAGCCTGGCACAATGATCACAACTCCGCAGGAGGGCAGAGGTAATGAGCGTGGTGGCCGGTTTGTGTCTCAGTTGTGATCAACGCTCACGGGGCCTCGCACTCGGCCGCATTACAAGTCTCCAAACAATCCTCAACAGCAGCAGCAGCAGCGAGCTGGCCTCCACCTCCAGTGATCTCCCTGAAGGCCAAAGCCACGGGGTAGTGCATGGCTAATCGCACGCAACATCGGTGGCGAGTGATATCTGAACCAGTCTCCCCGGGTGCCCCCTTCACCAAATCGCACTGACCAGCGTGGTAAAGTATGGTCAAGCAACCTCTCCCCCCCCCCCGTCCCCCAAGGCAGCGTGGGGAAGCCTTCATCCAGCAGTGGATTGACAAAGGGCTGTATTTTAATTTATCTACAGGGGGCGTGTGTGGCGTTTGTAAACGCTTAAAACGGCAGTGTACAAACCGCACCGATATAAACCGCACACCGTCGCTCGCACGGGGGTCCCCGCAATGTGCCAGGCCCAACGAAGACGATCGCCGTCTCTCGATCGCAGGCGTTGTGATAACTCGGGAGGCTTTTGACTCGACTTTATTCAGGTGGGGGGAAGGGGGGGGGGGGCGCATTTTCCATTTATCGCGGCGGCAAAAACGGCACGTTCCGTCCCACCGTCGGGGAGGGGGAGTGCCGTGTGTCGTCCTCACACGCCGGTCAAGCCGACCGAAGCTCCCGCAACCGGCCCGGCGCCACTCGCGGCCCGCCGGCTCCCCGTCGCGAGCGGCGTCACGCCGAGCGCCCGTTACTCTCGACTGGGGCCTGCTCATCCGCCGCCGCCGCCGCCGCCGACAAACGCCATCAGTCCTGCAGCTCCAGCTGCTCCAGCTCCTCCAGCAGCGACGCCTCCATCAGCATCTTCTCCAACTGGGAACGAGAATCGGCGTGAACGCGGCACCGGACACGCGGCGGCTCCCGCCTCTCGTGGTGCTGCCCCTCCTCCGGCCACAATGCAGTTGACGGTGATTTCCGCATCACTTCCTGTTGACCTAACCGCTTTCCGATATGCCACGGCTTGCGTTAAAAATTGAGGCTGGCGAAACAGGAAGCGGTTATGGAAGAGCTCCGCACGACGGGGATCGGGGGGTTCCGAGCTGGATCCTGAGACGCGTCTGCGCGGTGGCGCCTACAAGTTCTGCATCGCCTCTGGCGCAACAGCTCCGGACCCGCTCCTGGCAGCAACTTCCATCAAGATTAGGGCTGCTTGTTTCTTGGGTTGAATCTTTAGCTAGGTGAGAGCCCAAAAGGATCCATTACCTCCTTCACAAGAGCAAAAGGGCGGCCTAGACTTGACAAGTGATGCCACAGGGCCTTTGATCAGTTTAACAAGGAGGCTTTCGCGACCAATAGTATCAATAACAGGTTTTTTTCGGTTGGGTCGCATAACCAATAATATATATCCATCGTCATTTATATGAATATTAACCCCCACCCCACCCCCCCCTCTGGTCTTCGTTACTGATTGGCTCACAAGTCACGACATCGCATTTATCCCCTCTTTAAGACCGAAATGGGAGGAGGATTTCTCTACAACTATGTCTGCCGCCTGATGAGGCTGGTTGCAATTGCCGATGAAACGGCACGGTACTCGAATTGCCAATGTTGTGGGTTTACTCTGCTGAACGAGTAAGGAATTGGCACGTTGTTTATGTGACAACCCTTACTGATTGGCTGTGGTGGGTTTAACGACACATTTATGTTCACGTGATCTAACCCAAAAATAAAAGCTCTACTATAGGGGCCTTTGATGTCCACTTCACAATAGTCAGCACACTTTGGTTTATAATTTAAACCAACCTCTTGTGGTTAACAACAGCGTCTTGTGAAAATGTATTAAAATAAACAATTGTAATTCCAATTGCCCAATCGGCATGCTGTCACTGAGACAATCCGTTAATTCAGATCTGTTTCAAGAGCAGGAAGGGCATCTTCCTGTGTTTAACCCGCAGAAGGAGATACCACATAACTACTTCTGTGATTTCTCCATCAAGTTACCCAGGGGATGCACCCTCCCACACGTCCTGCTACGGAGAATTGGTAGTTACATGGCAGGAAACTCGCACTTGTTTTTCCCTTCGAATAATCACCGCCGGACTTTAGACAAAGTGAAAGATTATTTTGAATCTTTTATTCGTGCAGTCACCGGTAGCCAGGCTGATCTCGTTACACCTGAGAATCCGGTTTTAATCACGGGTGGCTGAAATCCGGATTCGAACCCAGAATCTTAGGGAGACGTCGTACTCAGATTGTTAAAGGCTTGGCTCTCCAACACACCGGTGTGCTGTACTGGTAACGAATTGGCACGTTCTGTTTACAATCCTTACTAATTGGCTGTGTCGGGTGGTGGCGGGTTTAACGACACATTTATATATTTACGCGATCTAACCCAAAAAAACCTGTCTTATGGATGATTTTGGTCGCTAAAGCCTCCTACGTTTTAATCTTTGCGGTGACTGCGCGACGCTCAGATCCACGAGCCACTTAGCCTCCCGGCAACCTCTGTGACGATATTTTCAAATGCGAGTCCTTGCAGCAGCTTTTGGCTAGCCATCATCGAACAAAGACGGTCACTTGCATCGCGCGCTTTTCAGATAAATGTATGCAAACCAACACACCTGATGACGACCGTTTGTGTTATGGTCGAAAAGCCGTGAGAATTTGTATTGTTTTATATATATTTTATTATTTTATTATTTCTCTTCAACGTGACTTTACCGAAAGAACTAAGAATATGAATTACTGCAGTCACAAAAGCTTTAAATCAAAAAGGTGCAAACGATGTTCAACGTACAGACACACACTTTGGTCCCCACACACGGCCGGCTCCAGTTGGATCCCTCACCTGGTTTTTCTGAAGCTCCTTCCCGGCTGTCTGCTGCTCTCTCAACTGATCGATGGCTTTCAGCTTCTGTAGGAGACAGCACGGAGGAGGACCATCACCAACGACGGCGCTCGAGAGGTCAGCGTTTACCGGCAACAATTTCACCGCTCGACGGTCAGTGGCAACGGTTCAAAATTCTACGTCTTTGATTTCCTGCTCAAACGAGCATCTAGGCGGTGGTGCTCATCTCTTGTTTCCGACCCTGAGTCTGTGGTGGCAATTCCACATTACTATGGTGGGGAGGTCGAGTTTATATGAAGAACGAGCAGTGATGATTCACCCACAAAGTGGCGGTAACCAGAGGGATGATGAACGGAGGCAACCGATGGTGCGTTTGCGAACAGCGAAGATTCATTGAAGGACGTCCAATTCTTAGGCTCGCAAAACCACTTGCCGTGCATCGTGCCGGTAATAATTTACGTAGCACAGTTTTGATTACTCCACCGGCATAAACGACGTTGGCATATATTATTTTCATGGAAAGTTAATTCAAATGCCATGAATTCATGTGCGATTTGTACTTCTATTCTTTATTTTTACAGGAGAACTCCCGTTAACGACTAATTGCTTAACAACTAATTGCTTAACGACGGGCCCCCATAGAGCCCACTGTGTAGTGTACAGTATAGTGTACAGTGTAGTGTATAGCAGTGTTTAGTAGTGTATAGTCGAACCCCTGTTAACGACTAATTGCTTAACAACTAATTTCTTAACGACGGGCCCCCATAGAGCCCACTGTGTAGTGTACAGTATAGTGTACAGTGTAGTGTATAGCAGTGTTTAGAAGTGTATAGTCGAACCCCTGTTAACGACTAATTGCTTAACGATGGGCCCCCATAGAGCCCAATGTGTAGTGCAGAGTAGTGATGTGTATAGTGTAGTGTATAGTAGTGTATAGTGTAGTGTATAGTAATGTAGTGCCTCTATAGAGCCCAATGTGTTTGCTTACCGACCATTCCCGTGTTAACAACGGGCTGTTGTAGATATGCATTGATTAACCACGTTTCATTTAATATTGTTTATAATGTTGTTAGTATTTTTACGTATTAATATCCATTGTTTAAATAAGCACGTTTTTTGGGTTCAAAAGGGTCACTTTCGATGCTATCGGAACGAATCCGGCCTTTAACGTGTATTTTCTATAATCGCTTAACGACCGGTTTCGTGAAACCTCTTGCCGTCGTTAAGAGGGGGTTTCTACTGTCATTATTTTAGTGACTCGATTACCTTTTCTCTCCCTTGCTCTAACGTACTTTTGTCTAGCCTCTTGATGGAACTCGCTCACCACCACTTCCCCTGCGTGGAAAAAAGCTTCATAGCTCATCGGATTCCCCCCGGGATTAATAAAGATTATGATTCCGAATGACTGACCCTCGCACCATGCCATCCCGATTCACGTTCCGCGAGCCGTACGAATCGACTTTGACTTGTGTGTGTCTCTCGTTACGTGCTCCACTGTGGCTTGGCAGTGCTGCCCGTTTTGACCACGGGGAACCACCAGGGGTCGGTATCGTCCCGGTCTCGAACACAGGGAGGGCCCGGGAATGTCTCGATCCATCAACTATTTTTTATTTTACCAGGTAAGGCCCCACTGATCTATATTGCTCTTTTTCAGACGCGACCTGGCTATCACAAATGATAGCTCAACGAAGTGGCTCATCGTGTGTAAATGTATAGCAGCCAAATACTCTTTAAACGCGTGACGTCGATTCTAATAAACGTGGAGGGAAAAACCGGAGGACCCGGAGAAAAATTCACGTGACCACGGAGAGAGAGAGATATGAAAACTCCAAATATACAGGCGTCAGGGTTGGGATCGAACCCACGAACCTCCTGTATACATAGCGAGGTAGTGAACATCTCGCTGCCGCGAGTCGATCAATAGCTGCCACGAAACCCCCGCCACAGGCGAACGATGGCTGCAGGGCTTATTGATCTCTCTCCACGATTATTGATCGTTTTTCTCTCCCCAGATTAAAATAACGCGAACAGAGGCACCAGTGGGGGGGGGAGGGGGGGGGGGGAGGTTGTTTATTACAGGCTAATAGGCGAGAGTGATGGCAGAACAATGTTGCTTTTCACTCGATTAAAAAAATCCGGCATGCACAAATTCCACTTATAAGGGGTGTAACGATTTATCGACTCGTTGATGCGTCCCATCGATTCTATAAGCTCACGGTTCACGCATCAAATCGGACGAGTACGGATCGATGTTTTTCAATTCCATAGGTCGCAAGAAATGGGTTTCACGTCACCCCTGCATGCATCCACCACGGTGCAACGGAAGACCAGCCGAGAATGAAATCGCGACAGCAGAGCTTGAACAATGTTCAAATTAGCCGAGGGCGAATCTTTACACCTCTAAGTAACACCGTGCCACTCTGCACGACCGGCCGGGGGATGGCGAGACGGCTTGGAAAGGCCTTCATCCAGCGGTGGACTGATTGATCACTGCTGCCAATGACGATGAAAAACTGCCCGACACAATATACTAATAGGGGTTTTCCCCTTTTTTCTGGCAACAAAACTGACACCTTTTGCAAGGAATCACGTTAACATTAACCACAATTCTTGTAGTCAAATGCAAAAATCCAAAAAGGGGAAAAACCCTATTAGTATATTTTGGTACTGGCAAAGGAGGCCTCATGATGCCCGACACGATATTGTATATCCTGCGCCCATTATTACGACGGACGACTGGGGCCCAACGCGATTTAACCCTTTGCGATTCGATGCATCGCGCATCACCGACACGGGGTGGGCCGTTTCGATCACTCAAATCAAATCGTCTCTCGTTCCATTTGCCGTCGGGAAAGTGACATTTTGCGCGCGATGACTTCAAACCGAAGATAACATTTTAACGACGGCGGATAAAGCCATTCCCTCCGAATTTAGTCGAGAGAAAGATATGCCATCCAAGGGTGTACGTCCGGTGTGCTCGCCGCACACCAGCCGACAGCGCTACCTCCCGCCCGCACCGAGAGGCGAGCTCCGCCAACTGTTCCTGCAACGTCTCTCCTTTTGCGCCTTCGCCATTTGCCGTCTCGTCTCTGCTGTGTTTTCCTTTTTTTCGAAACTGTCATTCTCGTGCGCATTGTGTACTCTGTACTTGTCTATCCGCACCGCCTTTCCCCCCCGCACCTCCGTTTAGCACGGTTGGCTACGGACGTTGCGAAAGAAGTTCAACGTATATACATTTTGCCTTTCATCTGCACCGACTTTGTCTATTTTGTACTTTACTCGCAGGCTTGTTGCGTCTCGTCTTTTTCCACTACATCCTCTGCGCTGTGTTTTGTCGTCAGTCGTTCGAACCCATTCTGTCATCGCTTCGCCTCCACCAAAGTTTTCTTCCTCTCTCCTTGCACTGTCTCTCGTAGGTTCGTGTGTTGACGTAAAAATTATAATTTAATTAGTGCAACATCCCCAACACCATTGCGCCCAATGGAACTCCATCAATTTTGTTGGAAGAGCGAGTTGATGAGTGGATCGCTCGGGTCGAAAATCAATTTTCAATCCACGCATCGATGCATTGATCTGGGCGAGCTAATGTTGAGCAAGCGATAATGGAATTGGTAAAAAAAAAACAAATCACAGCTCCACATTACGGATGCGTTTTAAAAGTGGAACATTTTCCTAAGCCAGCATTCGGGTAATGAATGATGACAAAGGAACAGGGTTTTCTCACCTTTTTCAAGGCTTTTATTTTCTTCTCCTTGTCAGGGTCATGCACGCTGTCTGTCGTCGATATCCCCGCAGGCTTTCCGTCGCTGGCAATGTGGGCGGCCGTGTCATCATCGTGCGCCGCTGTTCCGCCCTCCTTCAAACAACATCGCACGTTAATAATTTGAAAAATATTAAAGCGTTATATTATTTAGTTTGGACCCAACAAATTCAACATTTAATGCACACCAACCCACGATGACACCGTGGAGAGGGAGCGGTGAAATCGGCTCGCGTTCAGGAGCTAGACGGATCGCTGCGTTGCAAGACCGCGGGAGACGGTGACGGCTCGGGGGAGGTCTTCATCCAGCAGTGGATCGATCATCGATGACGATGATGATGACTGTGAGACAACCCCAACCCAGGACCGTCACCCCGGTAGGAACATAAGACGCGACGGGAACGGGACACGTGATGGAAGCGGGTAAACACGACGGCAAGCGGGAGACGGCAGCGCACGCGCGCACCTGCTTGGCCGCCTTCTTCGCCTCCCGCTTCTTGAGGTTTTTGAGCGCCGCCTTTGACAGCTGCTTCTCCGCCGCTCCGCTCCCCGCCGCCGGCCGCATGTTCTGCGGAAGCTCGTCCTCGTCGTGCTGCGCACCGCACAGCCGCAACCGCCTACGCGTCAGTCCACCGCCACCCCCGCACCCAACAAACTTGGCCATCACACGCCCGCCCGCCCGCCCGCCCGCCCGCCCGCACAGCAGAGCGACGAACCAACTCGCTAACGGTGCAGGCGGCAGCGGTTGAAGTGGGGCCAGTATACGCGCAGGCGGTGTGACACGGTGGGGAATAAGGAAATGAATTATTTCTTGAACGGGAATCTGTCGGCCGAATCGGCAGAGCGACCTGCCGATTGGAGCTGTGACGCTGGGATATCGGATTGAATAACAACGAATTTTCTCCAAAAAACAATTAACCTTTTCAGTGAACTCGCCCAAAAGATCAGCACATTTGGAACGACTGTAAAGGTGGTGATGTGGAGGCATTACTGTCGCACTGCAGGGACAACGTGACGCTGTCGCGGGTAGATGCAGCTTACCGGGTGGCTGCTTGTTTGATGATCTAGCGGCGCGTGGCGTTTGAAATTTCGTTAACGCAAAAACTAGATTTCCTAAATTGACAAGTATCCGTCATTTTTTTATTGCGTTCACGTGAAATGTCGCAAACTGAAAGTTCGTAAATAGAGAGATACCTGTATATTAAGTCAATTCTGACACATACATGAATGCAATAGAATATCCTTAAAAAGTCCAAGTGATCCCCATTTCAAACCAAACATTGAGGCGGTGCTCATCTGTTTACCACCCTGAGCCAGTGGTGGAAATTCCACGTTCCACATTTCTTTCTACGTTGCGGGCGAGTCTATCCAGAGGACAACCATTGTGGACTTCCCACAAAGTGGTAGTCGTTTTACCCACACAAGTAGTCAACCCCCACACAAGGATCTCAAATCTCAACCTTTCGTTTGCGAGCCTTTCGTTTGCGAGCCGCTCGCTCAACCGCGTAGGCTTATATAATTATATATCTACAATCTGAGCTGTGAGGCCACGTTCGAACGGATCAAATATACACTTCGATTATTCTGCGCAAACCAGCACCTTCCGTCAAACCTTCCTACGCGCCGGTTGGGCAGCGGTGCCGTACCAGCTTGGTGTTGGTGACCGGTTTGTTGCGGAGGGCCGGCGGCCGGTACGTCTGCGGAGTCTTCTTCCCCGGGGCGGCCGGTGCGCCGTTGCCAGCGGCGACGCTGCCGGTGGCCCGGCCGGTGAGGGCCGGCTCCGGGTAGGTCCCCTCTGGCACGGGGCGCCACGTGGTCTCCCACACCTCCGAGTTCTCGGCGGCCTCCCACGTGAACACCGTCGCCCCCAACACGTGCCACACGCGGTAGCCTGCAGGGCAAGCGCGCGCAAGCGCCGTCGCTCACAACGGCTCGCCGGCGGAACGCAAGCCTCCTCCCGCGGCGGTCGCCCGTCCGTGCGCTATCCAGGCTCAGTGCTGACCAGACCGGGCGCGCTCCGGCCGGATCGACCGCGAGGCGTGACATGGTCCGCGACGGCGATAGTGAAGTGTGAAACGAAATAGGGCGAAGAGACGAGCAACAGTCGTGAGGAACGACGCCGGCTCGCTCGTGCTCGCTCGCGCTCGTTCGTGCTCACGCTCGCGCTCACTCGCGCTCGCTCGCTCGCTCGTGCGGTCACCGTTGCCGACGCGGAGGCGCGGTGCGCAGGTGGAGGTCAGCACGTGCGCGCCGTCCGGGCACCAGCAGAAGTGCGTCGAGTCCGACGCCGTGACCTGCGACACGAGCGTTTTCTTGCGCACGTCCCAGAACTCCACGTTCCCGCGCAGGTTCCCGAAGCCGGTCAGCGCCAGCAGCCCGCCGTGCGGCGAGTAGGAGGCGGCGTTGCGCGGCCCCGTCCCGAAGTCGAACACGGGCTCGCAGCTCAGGTTGTAGATCGTGGCCTTGGCCGGCATGAAGCCGTAGACCACGCAGTACTCGGTAGACGTCGGGCTCCACGTCGCCTCGTAGATCGGACCGTTCTTGGCTGAACCGTCGCCGCCGCCGGAGAGGGGACGGGGGAGGGAGTGTGACGAGAACAGACGAGATTAGCGCGTAGGTTAGGCACACGACGATTGGTCGATTTGTCAACAAGAGGACATTTATTAGGGTCGCGAATGCTGGCCACGGATCTGTTATTATTTTCAACTGGTATGTTTTTCCGCGTAATTTGTTCACAATGGCACGGGCCGCTCTTGCAAATGAGACCCATCCTGGCCTCTCAAGTTCTCACCTGGTTAAACAAAATAAACTTGAACCTGAAGCAACAGAGGCTCTACATTGCACCGTGACATAAAAATATCATAAATTCTCCAAAAGAATCACCCCCAACCTGGCCACCAGTGGTGGGCAAACCAGACGCGTTAAGTGTATAATGTAGTGTAGATAGTGTAAAGCCTGTGTAATGTATAATGTAGTGCAGTGCGTAATGTATAGTGTAGTATGTAGTGTAGAGTGTACTGTAGCGTGCAGTGTTGCGTATAGTGTAGAGTATACTGTAGTGTTATAGTTTAGCGTTTAGCAAGTGTAGCATGTACTGTGTAGTGTATAATGCAGTGTATAGTGTAGCATTTAGAAAGTCTAGTATGTAGTGTAAAGTGTAGTGTGGAGGCAGCGTGGCACGGCATGGGGAGGCCTTCGGCACGGCATGGGGAGGCCTTCATCATCATCCCGTAGCGGCTCGAAAGAGCCGCTGTACCGTGTACGTTACATTCATTCCTTTTGTACTTTCTCGGTCGAGAGATTTCGGCGGTGCCGTGCCACCATAAAGGAACGCGTCTTCGTTCGCCGATGAGACCGGCAGCCCAAGTGCGGTGGGAACCAACTTCCCCCCGGCCGGACTGCCCCCGCCGACCTCCTAACCGGCGCCCGCGTGCGAGCGCCCAACCTTCGGCTCCGGCGTTGCCGGTTCTGCCGATGCCATTGCCTGCCAACCCACAAGGTTTACCCCGTATTCTTGTACAGAGAAATTGAGTTGTCAGGTCCATAGGTCGTACAGCCGTTTCATTACGCGCAACAACAACAACAAAAATTGTAATTGTCTATTTGTGCTGCTCTCCTTGTGATGGCACCTTGTAGGATGAACGTTGAGATTTATAAAGGGCACGGGGTGACCAATAAGGTCTGAATTGGTCTGTAATAAGGTGGCCACTGATAACGGGGTTGTTGACAGGTGTGCGACGCTGCCACAGGAGCGGCGGCGCTGTGACTCACGCAGCTGCACGATGACACTATCCCCGCCCGTGCTCATGTAGTGCAGCGTCTGCTCGCCGTAGTACGACGCGCCCGTCTTGTCCACGTCCGTGCTCGCCACCACCAGCACGGCCGTCGCTGTGCTCGCGCAAGAACGTCAACACGGCGGAGGAGGAATGGGGTGGGGGGGGGTTGGGGAGTGGGGGGCAGGGGGTGAAGTTAAGGCGCTTGATGAGTGTCACGTGACCATCACGGGACACTCATCAAGACGTGGACGGCTTCTTTAAGATATACAAACAGAAAATTCTCGTTAGACTAAGTTAATCCTGATTGTGCTGTAGGTGTACACACACAAACGTACCCAAATGTACACGAAGATAAAGATCCCCCTATAGCCTTAATAGACTTTGAGGACAAGTGCTGTTAGCAAGCACCTATGAAGGCCTGCACGGCACACAAGGGGGTGGGTGGCCAGCAGCACGCCCGGCCGCCCTCATGGCGATGTTTACTACACACCGCACCAGATCGTCATTTGAGGCTGAGTCAACCTAGGAGAGGCCCAGGACCGGTTCAGATAATCGTCACTGGTGTTGGCCATGAGCCGGAATCGAACTCAGGTCTCCGGGTTCGTAGCGCAGCGCGCTAACCGCTACACTACCGCTCCCCACATGCACGTATGTACACACACACAATGGATACGCACATGTACACACGTGGGCAAACCCACACACGGAGATGTGCACACACACACACACACATTGTTGTTGCCACAACTGCGAGATATCCGTGCGTGCGGCTCGGAGGAGGAGAGAGAGAGGGGGCAGCCGCACCTTTCTTGTTCCACACCAGGGAGGCGCGGTCGGCCTTGAAGAAACTCCTGCTGGCCAGCGCCTGCGTGGGGCCCCCGAAGTCGGGGTAGCGGTAGAGACGCACGAACGACGGGCCCCCCTTCACTCCCGGCACGTACACGGCCACCTGCGGGCGCCGGCAGGGACGGCACACGGCGCGCGATTGCACGTCTGCAAGCACCCACCGTCCATCGCACGCGAGCGATCACGAACGCGCGCGCGTGCGGTTACACGTGCGCCCGCGTGATTGCGCGCTTTCGATCGGCGTTTCTCAAAACGCCAGCCCTCGTGATTCCAGCCACCGCAGTTTGTTAACCTATAATACCTGGGTTTGGTTCCCTGTGACCTGCCGCCGGAGAACCTTCGTCACATCATGCTGCCGCGCGTGGCCTTAGGGCGGTGGCGCGGCCCGGCGGTGGCGCGCTCGCCGCTTGTCACAGATATTCACGGTTCGAATCCAGCTGGCCACCCCGATTAATACTGCGGGTGTAAAAGACCAAAAAAAAAGTACACTAACGTGCCGTCCTCTTCACAGTGGACGTTGAACACGCCATGACGTCATTCGCAAGAGTAGAGGGCATTGTGCGCCGGTGTCGTGGTCCCAATTTGCCAAATTTACCCGGAAATTAGTCAAATGGGATTACACGCAGCGGCAATCCTTGCCCCCCTACCTTAACAACTTGGCAGGACCCTTCTGTAAAACGAGTCATGAGACTCAGTGAGGCTTATTAAGCAAACATAATAACATTAAAGTGCACCTCGCTTGGGACTAAAACAGCGGGGATGCAACGACCACCATGCTAAGACGAATGGAGATCGGTGTTGCTGATTTGTGTACAATTATTAATAAGTAAACGGTACTGGGCAGGGCATGAATTGGATGATCAGAGTGGCTCTCGGCATTCGTTCCCATCCTCACAAATGTCCGGGGAGTTGCTCTATGCAGCTCAAAGACGAGTTCCTAGATGGAGCCTGCGGCTTTGTTCACACAGTATAGCAGCTCTTCGAAACACTTATGGTTTCACAAGCCTAAATTTATACACCAGCTTTTCCAATCAGGAGCTCCATGAATGATATGGGTTTGAAGGGAGCCACGGTGGCAAAATGTTAACAACCTCGCCGGGTGTACAGGAGTTCGTGGGTTCAATCCTCACCCCGATGCCTGTATATTTGGAGTGTGCATGTTCTCTCTCCCCGTGGCCGTGTGGATTTTTCTTCGGGGGGTCTTCTGGTTTTTCCCTCCACATTTAGAATCAACGTCATGCTTAAGAGTGTTTGGCTGCTATACATTTACACATGACAAGCCACTTCAGCGAGCTATCATTTGTGGCCAGGTCGGTTTTTACACAAAAAGAGCTACACAGCTCATTGGGCCTTATCTGGTAAAATAAAAAATGGTAACGGTTTTACTGTTAAGGGCTCTCGGATGTGACGTCACCTTGGTTCCCATCACGCAAACACCACTGTGCATCATTATTGACATGGGGCTCTGTAACACAAAGGGCTGCGGAAAATGGTTAACAAGAGGCGGAGCCGATGAAATCCAAATTTTCTAGGTTGAAGGTCATTTTTTTGTAACCGTAAGTTCGATCTCGTTTGCATGAATTACGAGCCCTAAGCTTTCGGACGACTGTCCATCCATATTCTTGGTTCTTTCGGTAAAGTCACGTAGAAGGGAAACAATAAAATAATAAAAATATAAAACAATAAAATTCTCACGACGTTTCGACAGCAACACAAGCAATCATCATCAGGGGTGAAAACCACAGCAAGAAAATTTGCAAAAAGTGGCGGTTTTAAATTGGTGGAGCGGCTGACGAGGACTTCACACACGCACATATTAAAGCGGTGCGTGACAAATCTAAATAGCCTCGGAGGGGGGAAAAAAAATAATAATGAAAATCTGCCTGCATGTTGGCGCCACTGCTTTTCCTCCCTGCACTTATTATCTTTACGATACAGCAGCCCGCGTGGGCCAAGCCTCCCGGCGTGCTTTAAGCACACAGAAGCCTTGTTTTCCCCGTTTCACTCGCGCACCACCGAACTTCGCTTCCTTCACAACATCTGCCAACCGCAAAAAAAAAAGAAACAAGCAAAACAAACGGGCGAGTCGGCCGACCGCGGCGTCTTAAAAACACCCCGCGCTCCCCGTTCGCACGCCAACAAAAAAGAAAGGGGGGAGGGGGGGGGTGGATCCAGGATAAGTAAGGCCCCCGAGCTGGCACCGCCTCGGGAACGCCGGGCGACTTCTAAGCGCGCGAGTCACGTCGCCGAGAAATAACGAGCAATTATAACAGAAACTACAAAGGACGCCAACTTCCCTGGCCGCCGCTGCCTCCGCCCCATGCAATGTAATCGCACTAATGTCCTCGATGGCCGGTGGGCTCGCGCGGGTGGGTGGGTGGGTGAGGGGGGGGGGGCGTTGTCAATGGTTTGAAACTCGACGTCGCCGGCGAGGGCCGGAAGCTTTGGCTGCGCGTCCGACCGCCCGCCGGGGCGGGGCGGGGCGGGGGGAGCCGTGCTGGGCGGTGGGGACGGCGCTTCGCCCCCCGCGGCCGCTGGAACAGTTTGTTCGCCAGCCGCGCGGCCTTCCGCGGTGACACGCGGCGCGCACAAACACTTGGGCGCGCACACGCGTACGAAGCATCAACAACACCGCTGTTTAAAAAAAAAAATACAAATATTTTAAATGTAAATACCGTTTTATGTTCGGTTCGCATGCCTTTTTGTAATTCCGCATTTCTTATATCAAGTGGGGGTTTTTTTTTATTTTTATGTAAAAATGTTTTGCCTGGAAGCATCTCGAGATAAATTTTTTCGCCGCCAAGTCACGACACGTCGATTGACGTCAAACTGCGCGTGTACCAAATCGGTTATTCTCAAAGCGTATATTCAATCGCGATGGAATATACTATAATCCTGCAGCCACGAGACGCGCTACATCGTGTGCCACAAGGACAACGGCAACAACAAAAAAAAACAAGAGTTGATGTCTGAATCGAAAACGTGACCATTTACGTAATCATACCTGTCAACTGATACGGATTACCCCATATTCTTGTACAGGGGAATTGGGAGTTTTCTGGTCCACACAGCATACAGCCGTTTCAATACGGGCAACAAAAAAATGTCTTTGTGTTTCTCCCTTGTGATGGGACTTTGTAGGATGAACGTTGAGATTGAATTGGTCTGTAATAAGGTAGGGCACTGATAAGGGATTGACAGGTTTGTGTAATCGTGGGGCATGGGTGGGGGGGTGCCAGAGCGGGGGTGGGGGGGGGGGGCAATCCGTACCTTTTTACATTCCCATGCTGTATCGATGTACAACCCCACACCTGTATATTTGTAGCAAAAAAAAAATATTGTATTAGCCAATTTCAACGCAGTACCTGGCAATTCCGACTGGGATGCCTCTGTTGTTGTGGAGTAACTCATGCAGCCAGCTATGGCTCTAGGATTTGGTGTTAAATGTTATTTATGTAGTTCATTGTGAAAATTCGGTCACAGTCCCTGTGTGATCACTGTTACGTTGCAATTATGGCTTTATTTTTTGGTGATTTGGAAAACGTTTTTTTTTGGTTTGGACATGTTTGTTTTGTTTAGTACGTAGTTAGACTGATGGCCTTAATCTAAGTTGTCTTGTGGTTGTTGTTGTTGTTTGACTTGCATCCCACTGGGATTTTTTGCACACAGCGTTGGTGTACGGTGCTTTTTTCAGAAATATTTTGCTGTTTTTCTCTTGGATTTTCTGTTTGCACAGTCACATAGTCACTTTAAGATGTTTTTCTTGTTCGTGTTTTTGTTTGTTGTGGTTGCACCCGACTCAATAGCCGAATGGCTCACAGGGCTCTACCAAAATAAATAAACTGAAACGTCATCGTCCAGAAAGTCGTAGGAATTTGTCGAGACCAGGCCGATTTAAGCGAATAAAAAAAAGTAAAATGTCACTCCACCGTGCCGCCGCGTCCTTTTCTGCCACCGCCGGTGCCGCCGGTAGCACCGGCGAGCGACTTCACGGCGCCGGCGCGTGCCACCGGAACGAGAGGGGCTCGGCGAAGCGCAAGGATCCGCACGCTCGCTCTCTCTCACTTTCTCACGGCGCAATGCCCGATCCACAAATACGAAGGAGCGATACACTCCGCTGCTTCTGATGCGATTGTCTGGCCCGAACACCCGAATGTAAAACTACAGTTGTTGCTCCGCATCTCCATGAGCCGTACGAAAGAAGAAAACGACTCGCTCCCACTCTCTCTCTCTCACGCACCCTCTCTCTCTCTCACTCACCTTGCTGGGGCTGGGCCCAGGGGACAGCTGGAAGTCCGCCACCTTCTGCTGGAACAGCTTGTTCGCGATCGTGTCTGCGGCGGAACGCACACGTGCCGCTCGTTAACCCAGTGGAACGGGGGCGGGGGGGGGAGGAGGTACCATTTTATAGCCGAGGGACAAATTTTTCACTCTTTAGCGGAAAGTCAAACAGTCATTGACAATAAACTTCGATTGCGCTCGAACTGTAGGCATCGGCCGCATACTTCGAGAAGGACTTCAAAGAACAGCAGGCGACCGGGCCCGATACAATAAGCGACTCGACGTTGCCAGGTTGAAGTTATTACGCTTAGCATGGCCAAGTTGCTTGGAGCTTACATACAGACGTCATTTGCGGTGCAGTTTTTTTTAAGCGGCAGGCCTCGCTTGGCGGGACGTCAGGCCATACGGCGTGAAGCCTGTGGGTCGCGTCTGGGCCCATGGGCTGCAGGTTCCCCAACCCCCGCTCTACAAGTTCATGCCCCGGTTCAACGGGCATTACCGCGGCGCCAGGGTCAGGTTCGGATGTCCCTCGCCGCCGACCTTAGCCGTGGTCGGGAATGGAACTCGAACGGTCGCGCCGGGTTCACAAGAGAGGGCGCCAACTACCGCGCCACCATAATCCGTGAAAATCGTGAACTGAACCTCAAAGCGCGATTTTGACGCGCGCATCATGGGGTCGTCAAGAGTCGATTTTGATTTACCGTCGCCGTTTGCCGCCTGCGTGGAGGCTCACGGTGGCGCTTGGTCGCTCACCGAAGTTGTTGTCTTCGAAGAAGTGCACCTCGTTGTTGACCATCCGCGCGCAGAGCTTCTCGTCGTCCGACCAGCTGGGGCTCCTGGGAGAGGAGGGGTCGAAGGTCACAGGGGTTAGGAGAATAAACGGGCTGGAGCTCGCCACGTAGTAGGCGTCAAGGTGTGGCAGTCATCGACACTTCACCACTGCAGGGTGCGATTTGGTGGATAAAATAATCGGGATTAACACTGTCAGAGCTAAGCCTGTCTTCCCAGGAAGATCTCATTGAGTCGTAGGAGTTTTTTTCGAGAAGGGTTCTGGCATTCGGATGTTTCATTTTAGTAAATGTGTTTATTAAAATCAAACCTCAATATTCAATGTCATAAAATCCACTTAAATAATGACCCAAGTGATGAATTTTGCCACAGTTTTTTTCCCGTTAAGATCACTCGTACTCTGCTGCTGCCCCCATTGTCTGGAATGGCCCTCCCCCAGCCGTCCACGCTGTTGACTCCCTGTTTCCGTTTCATTTTTCCCCTATGCCCAACTGCGTCTATGAAATAATTACGCCCAACATTTATGTGTAAGATCTCAAGATGCGGTCCCCATTTAGATGCTACATGAAACCACATTTTATTGCACCGACCCACACAGAGTCACTTTGAAACTCACACAGTGATCCATAAACTCATACGGGGACCAAGAGACTTACAAAGAGACATTTAGACACAGAGACCCAGGGGACATGCAGACCCACACGGGGACCCATAACTCACACAGAGACCCAAAGACTCACACTGGGACCTATAGACTGAGAACCCTATGACTGCCTCTTCCTTCCACACACCATTTCGAGACGCGGTCGCAATGAGACACTTTACAAATCCACATTCACCTGTGTGGCCTCCCAAATGCGCATCGCAAACCACCCTCACTCATGCATGGACAAAGACTCACATAGGGACTCATAGATTCACATAGGGACCCATAGACTCTCATACAGACCCATAGATTCACATAGGGACCCAGAGATTCACATAGGGACCCATAGACTCACGTAGGGACACATAGATACACATAGGGACCCATAGACTCACATAGAGACCCAGAGATTCACATAGGGACCCATAGACTCACATAGGGACCCATAGACTCACATAGAGACCCATAGACTCACATAGAGACCCATAGACTCACATAGGGAACCATAGACTCACATAGGGACCCATAGATTCACATAGGGACCCATAGATTCACATAGGACCCAGAGATTCACATAGGGACCCAGAGATTCACATAGGGACCCATAGATTCACATAGGGACCCATAGACTCACATAGAGACCCAGAGATTCACATAGGGACCCATAGATTCACATAGGGACCCATAGACTCACATAGAGACCCATAGACTCACATAGGGACCCAGAGATTCACATAGGGACCCATAGACTCACATAGAGACCCATACTCACATAGGCACCCATAGATTCATATAGGGACCCATAGATTCACATAGGGACCCAGAGATTCACATAGGACCCAGAGATTCACATAGGGACCCAGAGACTCACATAGAGACCCATAGATTCACGTAGGGACCCATAGACTTACATAGGGACCCATAGATTCACATAGGGACCCAGAGATTCACATAGGGACCCATAGACTCACATAGAGACCCAGAGACTCACATAGGGACCCAGAGATTCACATAGGGACCCATAGACTCACATAGAGACCCAGAGACTCACATAGGGACACAAGAGATTCACATAGGGACCCATAGACTCACATAGAGACCCATAGACTCACATAGGGACCCAGAGATTCACATAGGGACCCATAGATTCACATAGGGACCCATAGATTCACATAGGGACCCATAGATTCACATAGAGACCCATAGACTCACATAGGGACCCAGAGATTCACATAGGGACCCATAGACTCACATAGGGACCCAGAGACTCACATAGAGACCCAGAGACACTTCTCTAGCGACCTGTAACCAACTGCCTCTCCGCGGGGAAATAAAGAAGCCCAGGGCCGTTGCAGAGCGTTGTGAGACGCTGCGCGACCACACGCGGCACCCGTATTGAACGGAGCCGACGCGCGTGCGTGCGCCAGTGTGTGCGTGCGCCAGTGTGTGTGTGTGTGTGCCAGTGTGTGTGTGTGTGCCAGTGTGTGTGTGTGTGCGCCAGTGTGTGTGTGTGTGCCAGTGTGTGTGTGTGCGCCAGTGTGTTTGTGTGTGCCAGTGTGTGTGTGTGTGCCAGTGTGTGTGTGTGTGTGCCAGTGTGTGTGTGTGCCAGTGTGTGTGCCAGTGTGTGTGTGCGCCAGTGTGTGTGTGTGCGCCAGTGTGTGTGTGTGTGCCAGTGTGTGTGTGTGTGCGCCAGTGTGTGTGTGCGCCAGTGTGTGTGTGTGTGCGCCAGTGTGTGTGTGCGCCAGTGTGTGTGTGTGTGTGTGCCAGTGTGTGTGCGCGCGCCAGTGTGTGTGTGTGCCAGTGTGTGTGCGTGTGTGCCAGTGTGTGTGTGCCAGTGTGTGTGTGTGTGCGCCAGTGTGTGTGTGCCAGTGTGTGTGTGTGTGCGCCAGTGTGTGTGTGTGTGTGCGCCAGTGAGTGTGTGTGTGCCAGTGTGTGTGTGTGCGCCAGTGTGTGTGTGTGCACCACCCCGACAAACGCAGCCGCAACGGGGCAAGGGTGAAACGGCCTCTCACCATCCCTGCTGCTTCTTCTGGAAGAAGGCCTTCAAGCACTTGCCCTCCTTGAGGTCCCACAGCATCAGGTTGGGCTCCCCCTTAGGGTTGTCTTTGGTTGCTGGGAGGCGACACACACGGGCAGGTCGGGGGGGGAGCACGGTAGTGGGCGGGGGCAGCGGCGATCACGATGCGACAATCCGTATCGCGAGCAGCTGTATATTTGCGTCGTCGAATGTGTCCGTCGTCGAGTTCCCCGGTGTGGGAGGCCTCTTATGAAAGAGTCCACGCTCCACGGCCACTCACTCATGTAGGGCTGCCACACGGCGAGCAGTGTGCCGAGCGGCGAGAACGCCAGGCACGCCGTCTTCGGCACGTCCAGGCTGTGCAGCAGCTTGCATTCTGGCAGGCTCAATACCTGCACCCTACCGGGGGAGCAACGGACACTCGCTCACGCGCTAGCTCGCTGCCCGACTTGCTCACTCATTCATTCACTCACCCACCAGACTTAACAGACTGTAGGGGCAAGTGCTCTTGGCGAGCACCGAGGAAGGCCGGCACGGCACACGAAGGGGTGGGTGGCCAGCACTACGCCCAAATGCCTGTCTCCCTAGTGGCGATGTTTACACACTGTACCAGGTACCCATTTGAGGCCGAGTCGACCTAGGGGAGGCCCAGAATAGGTTCAAATAATTGTCACTGGTGTTGGCCGTGAGCGGGACTCGAACTCTGGTCGCCGGGTTTGTAGCGCAGTGCGCCAACCACTGTGCCACCGCTCCCCATACTCACTCACACACAACACACACGCTTATTCAGTCACACATTCAGTAAACCCACTCACCCTATAACTCACTCATCCACTTACCTACTCATTCACTAACTTGCCGACTCATACACTTACACAGACACATTCAGGCACTTGATTGCTCATTCATTCAACCACCATTCATTCATTCGTTGAAGACATTGCAGAAATGATGTAATAACTTTATTATTCACCCAGACACGTATCCAATACCTGGCGGAATCATTCACTCGCCCACTCCTTCAATAACACACTTGCTCATTCACTCACGCAATTACATATTCATTTACTTATTCTCTTTAATACATAGACTTTCGCGACCAACATCTAGAGGTTTTTGGGTTAGATCAAGTATCTAATGTGATGAAACCCAAAAAACCTCTGATGACTAATTCTCATGCCTGCTCAATCACATACTTGCCCGTCCGCTGATCACTCAGAGTCACTCCCTCCATCATGGAAACGCTCACTCATTTGCTTACTTATCAACTCATTCACATATGCACTCGATCACTCACGTACCCATCCAGTCACTCAAACTCGACCGCTCGCTCGCTCACCACATTACGATCGCCAAAAGAAGCGCCCCATTATTTGACAGTTCGTTTTTTTCGAGCCGGCAGAGGCTTGGGTTCAGGACAAAACCTCCCCACGCCAGCCGAGCGCTCGCGAGAGTCTGGATTTATTCTTTCCCATCCGAGAGGGTCGTGCTTACTTCTCCCCATTGCACCAGGCCAGCTGCGTGCCACTGCTGTTGAACGCCAGAACCCTGCAGGTCTTCTTGTCCTCGCTGGGCGCAGGATGGTAATCCGAGGGACGGGGACGCCGTTGGAAAAACAAGAGAGAGTGGTTTGTTTTGTTAACGGAGCTGTCCTAAAAACACACACACAAAACACGCGGACACAGGCCCCACTGTTCCGATGCCAACGCCGTCGCCATCCATCACGCGAAGGTGAGATGCGCCGCTCCGCCCATCTCACTGCGCGTCGCCCAATCGTGCTCGTGTTGCCAGGGTGACCCTCATCCGCTGCTATGGCAACCGGTACGTTGGTGGCTGCGGAGGGGGGAGGAGCCTCGGGGGGATGGATGGTGCGGTGAAAGTTAAAGCGAGGTGAAGTGCATAAAAGACGAACGGAGCGATAAACAAGGCGATTAAAAAAAAAAAGGAAATATTTAAATAAACTACAATATGCGGCGTGAAAAGGCTTGGAGCAGAGTCAAGCACGTAAGGACAAAGGGGGTGCGCGCATGCAAGCGTCCCGGTAGCGTTTTATTTTGGCAAAACAACTTTGATTTTACGTTCGAGTGAAAGGGCGACAGGCTCGGGGCTACAGAAACGCACAGAGGAAATAAAAAGCAAAAGAGGCTCTCGCAAAATGACGCAAGACAACAATGGCTCCTTTATTGAGAAGAACTTTAGGTCGGCCGGGTCCGACCGAAAAGCACAGCAAGTGCGGTCCAGCAGAAGAATGGCCGCGTGCGATTCACCGTACTAATGAAGGGTCGGGGGTGGGGGGGTCACTCTGGGGGGTGTCCCCACACTGGGAGAGCTGGGCTGTGACTGGCCCTGATTGACTCAACCAAGCATAAAAAGGCCAACGTTTTGAATTAAAAAAAACGGACTTCAGTTCATCTTCGTCTCCCCGCGTAAATAAAAAAAATCTGAGTCACTCGCTTCCGCACTTACAAAGCGTGCGCGTAGAATTGTCACTCCACTGCTGGACAATGGCCTCTCCTCGCCGTGGCAGCTCGTTGGGGTTGTTTGACCATACTTCACCACGCTGGTCAGCGTGGGTGCGTGAAGGTGGGAAAGCGGAAACGTTGGTGCGTAGTAGAGTAACAACAGCCTATTTTTCTGCACTGCCTCCTGTTGACTGCATAGCGCCGTACCGGCAGCCGACAGCGCCTGGTTTTTGTGCACGGTGACGGCCCATCCAGGCGCTGTCTGGGCTCAAACTCTGCTTAGCTTCTGAGACCTGATGAGATCAGGCGCATTCCGAACGACCTGGCCAGAGCCACGGACTCATAATATGCAGCAGCATTTGAATCTTATGGCGGGACCCCCGGGTCCCGTAAGCCCACGGCTCTGACATAAACTGCATTGCGACGTCATTTTACGTCTGTTGAAGGCGAACGATACGGCAATCTATTCCTCTCGACGAGCTCTACGCGATAGGCTAATCAAAGTTTTTGTTTCTTCTGCGCATTCCTTCTCGCTGCGCTTGGACGACACGACAACAGAATGATCCACGCCAGGTGGGTCGCGGAGTTTATGTGCGCGGTGGGACGGAGTCGCCAAAAAGAAATTCATTCATTACGATTTTGACTTCCGTTTATTCGGGACCCCGGGGTCCCGCCATCAGGTTCATTTGTTCAAACAAACAAACTGTTGCAGTTCCGACCATTAGGTATTTATTGGCAGAACTGCTGGTTCGTCAGACGTTATTGGCAAGGGTACTCCCACTCCACCAGGGTGTACTCTTGCAGTGCCAGAAAGCAATATTGCATCAGAAATGTATTCAGTTTTCTTTCGGTAAATTACGACGAATAATTTCATTTCTTTACACATTTGGTCACGCCACGTAAAGAAATATAGGTTTTAGCCCATTTGATGTTTTTTTCCTTCCAGAATTACATTTATCCAGCAGAAATGATCAAATATCGAGTTATTTTTACTCCGTTATTTTACTTTCCATTGTTTGTTGATGACTCTGTCATTGTAAAATCTGACAAGGTCAAATCTTACTCCACTAAAGTTTATGCCTTTATTTAACCAAGGCAATTTTTGGAGAATATCTTTCCCCCCTGTCGAAACGAACAGCCTGGGTGAGAGTGCATCTCAAGCAACGTAAAAACCAATGGCAAGGAACGACTCGAAACCATTTGCTTGATAAACAGCAAAGACTGCAGAGTTGGATTAAATATAAATAACAGAAAGTCACCCACAAGTTCACTGATCAAAGGAAAACAATTGATGGAGACAGCTGTGACGCACAACTGAGCATGTGTACATCTAGAAGAGGGTGCCACTGAAAACTCCCTAATTGTCAAGGTCATGCCTCCCGGAGTGTGGCGAGTATGGTGGGCGAGGTGGAGTGTGGGTGCGTGGTGGGTGTGTGGTGGGCGAGGCGCTCTGTACCCGGGGAAGGCGCTGTTTTCTTTAAACTCGGGAGGCCCATCGACGAGCTGGAGACCACTCGAGCCTCTGACTGCATCGCAATAAAAACACAAGACTCGTCAGCAAAATCAGAGCCAGGCTCCCCGCGGATGTCTTATTATAAGCGCATGCGACGACTATACACGCAGGGGTCAGATCGCTGAGCTTGCAACCGCTGAGATCCTGGGTTTCAGCCGCCGTGATTAAACCAGGTGCTCAAGTGGGGAGAGAGCTGTTGGTCTCAGCCTGGTCATCGATTACTTCACAAACAAAGCCGTGACATTAAAGTTGATTACGCAGCTACTTTGAGCTAAATCGCAGGCCGCAGATTAACGCTACTGTCAGCGGCGGAGCGGGTGTGAAAGGGCTGTCCCCCCGACTTTGAGAACCAGGTCACTTGAAATAATTGCAAGAGCTGCATTCACCACAGCACTCTGCTATACCACACACACACAATACATCACCCATATCCATCACAACACCCACCAACAACACCCACCCTGCCACCCATAGCACCCACATTCATCACAGCAGCCACCCATATTCATCACGGCATCCCGGCTGATCACTTCACCCATCAACACCACGAGCATCCTCACCCATGACCTTATCCACTGCTGGATGAGGCCCTACTCTTGAGCCACGCGGCTCTCGCAGCGCCAGCGGCCGCCACGTGCCGCTCGCACTACGCGAGCTGCCACTAGGCCCGACACGCCGCACGTGCACAGCAGCCGCGCGTAGCTCGCAACCAGCACTGCCATACAGCCGTGCTCTCTTCACACCCTCCTCCTCCTCCTCGTTGTCATCCCCACCTCATCTCTTCCCATGATCATCATCCTCACCCCCTCCTCCTCACCCCCCACCTCCTCACCCCCCCCCCCTCCTCCTCACCCCCCACCTCCTCACCCCCCACCTCCTCACCCCCCCCCTCCTCCTCACCCCCCCCTCCCCTCTTCACCCCCCACCTCCTCACCCCCCCTCACCCCCCCTCCTCCTCACCCCCCTCCCCCTCACCCCCCCTCCCCTCTTCACCCCCCCCCATCCCCTCTTCACCCCCCACCTCCTCACCCCCCTCCCCTCTTCACCCCCCACCTCCTCACCCCCCTCCTCACCCCCCCCACCTCCTCTCCTCACCCCCCCCCACCTCCTCTCCTCACCCCCCCCCCCCCACCTCCTCTCCTCACCCCCCACCTCCTCTCCCCCCCCCACCTCCTCTCCTCACCCCCCCACCTCCTCCTTCCCCCTCCCCCCACGTCGTCGTCGTCGCCTCTCACCCGCGAGCAGGGGCACAGGCGCCGCCATGTTCGTCTCGCGCGGGGGGTCCTGGGAGAGAGAGAGAGGAGGGGGGGGCGGCGGGGGGGGGGGGTCAGGGGTCACGAAGTAGCGCCGGCTGACACGTTGTCATCGAGGCGCGCACGGATACGCCACCCTCCGGAAGTGGATGCGAAGCGGCGACGGCCCCCCCCCACCCCCTCCACCACCGCCACTTCCTGCCCACGTCGACGGACGGAAGCGAAGGCTGACGCCCGTTAAGCGCGTTCGTCCGCGTCGAGCTGCGACGTCTACCGACGTTGAGGAACGTTCGACGACAACCTCGCGGCACGAGTCGTCGTCGTCGACCTCCGTCGCTGGCGGCGTGCGTTGGTTCGCGTCCGCACTACTTGATCGGGTCGGAGCGACACGCGGCGGTTGAGAGGGTGCGTCTCTTTAAACGGTCGTCAGCGCCGAGCGTTGCTTCGTGGTGATTACTCCGGGATTACTTTGAGGTAACTGTTGGATTACTTTGGGGGGGGGGTTACACCGGGAATACTTTGAGGTAACTGTGGGATTACTTTGGGGGGTTACACCGGGAATACTCCTGAGGTAACTCTGGTATTACTCAGATTATTCGCGGGATTATTCCGAGATGTCTCTGAGGTAGCTGAGATTACTGTGAGATTACTCCCGGGATTACCGCGAGGTGATTCAGAGACTATTGCGGTTAAAATTCCGAGATTACTCTTGAGATAGCTGTGAGATTACTCGGCGATTACTCTGAGGTAACTGCCTAAGTTACTCCGGGATTACTGTGAGATTACCCTCTGCGATGAATCCGCGATTTCTGCGAGGTAACTCGTGAGATGTACGGGTTCTCTGGGCTCTTGTGGTTGACGCAGACGATGGTGGCGAAGCAGAGGATTCGCGTGGCGAACGAAGCCTACAGCAAGAATATCACGCAGCGCGGACATGTCGCCAAAAGCTCCGTGAGTGTTACCCTGCACGTTACCAACGTTACCAACGTTACCACGTGACCCCCGTTGCAAGTGAACACGTTCACAACGTTATAGACCGCGTTACCAACTTCGCTTGCGAGCGCGTAACCGCATAACGCGTGTTATACCACGTGGTCGACACCGTTACCACGTGATCACGGTACAAGTTACCACGTAGGACAACGTTACCGCGTTACCAACTTCGCTTGCGAGCGCGTAACCGCATAACGCGTGTTACCACGTGGTCGACCCCGTTACCACGTGATCACGGTACAAGTTACCACGTTGACAACGTTACCGCGTTACCAACTTCGCTTGCGAGCGCGTAACCGCATAACGCGTGTTACCACGTGGACCTCGTTACCACGTGACCTCGGTACAAGTTACCACGTTGACAACGTTACCAACTTCGCTTGCGAGCGCGTAACCGCACAACGCGTGTTACCACGTGCAAGTGAACACGCTTACGTGTGAATGGCGCCAGTGTGAACGTTGCGTCACGACCGTTACAGTTTACGTGTCAACGTTTAGGGGCCGTCCATAAATGACGTCACGCACCTGGGGGGGGGGGGGGTCAGACATTTGTGACGATGTGTGACGAGGGCGGGGGTTGAGAAATGCGCAACTTTAAATACATATCGACAACACGTTCTGCTAAATTAAAGATACTTTTTTTTATATAAATGTTTTCTCCTACAACATCAGAGTGCAGCGCCACATTTAATACGCACTACAATGACAATAGTTTAAAGCGATTTGAAGCATGTTTGAAATATTTGTTTTGGGGGGGGGCAGAGCTTTGCGACGTCATATTTGAGGGGGGGGGGGGCGTCTGAATTGTGACGCCGTGTGACGAGGGGGGAGGGGGGTCAAAAATCGTCCAAAATCGCGTGATGTCATTTATGGACGGCCCCTTACCACAGTGCACGTGGTTACCTTGTTAACGGTTAGCACGTTACGCGTTGCCACGGTAACCAATGTGGCACGCGGGTTTTAATACTCAACACTCGCTTCGAAACGTGAACCCACGGGAGCTTTAACAGTGAAACCCTAAACTCAATCCCATGCTCGAGAACTCTTCCCCTACGCAATATCGGTCTTCGGGTCTGTTTGACCATACTTCACCACTGTGGTCAGTGCGGGTTAGTGCATGGCGAGGTCCAGCACCGGTACAGATATCACTCCGCCACTGACATTAGGAACCCCCCCCCCCCCACCACAACCTTTGCTTTGAAGTACAGGGGGTGAAGGAATGTAGTTGAGATCTTTTGATCCGGAGACACGTGAAAAACGTGAGCCGTGTTGTGCCCCGCAGAAAGCCCAGGAGGAGAGGCTGCCCGTGAGTCCTGCCCTGATTGCACTCTTCGTGTTCGTGGTCTGCGGCTCAGGTACCCCATCTCCCCTCCCCTCCCCTCCCCCCCCCCTCTCGTATAGCCCCCCTAACAGACTGTCGGGGCCAAGTGCTGTCGGCGAGTGTCACCTGTGAAGGTCGGCAGGGCACACCACGCCCGCCCGCCTTTGTCTCCCCAGTGGCGATGTTAACACACCGCACAAGGTACTCATTTGAGGCCGAGTTGACCGAGGGGAGGCCCAGGACCGATTCCGATAATCGTCACCAGATGTTGCCCGTGATCGGGAATCGAACTCTGTATCACGGGGATCGTAGCGTGGTGTGCTCACCAATACACCACCACACCATGTCCCCATTGTGACCCTACAGGGAACGAGGTTGCGTTGACTTTAGAGGTCAAGGACTTCGTGGTGGGCAATGGCGCAGTGCAGCAAAAGCCATTATTGTACTGTATGGTCTATGCCCCCCCCCCCATGCCTGCAAACCACACTAACAGAGTTTTGGTAAAGTTGGTCCTATAACCACAACTCGTATGGCATGGGGAGGCACTCATCCAGCAGTGGATTGGCAAAAGAGCGTTACAGAGCTTCCCTTAAAACCAGGGCATTGTCATGACCTGGTTTACCAGACGGACTCTTTTTGTTTCATCCTCCGTGTTCAACCACCACACGGCAGTTCAAATAATTTTCTTCTTTCCTCGCACTGCTTTGGACTTCCCAACTCCCTATTGCAAACATGATGCCTTGAATAAAGGTGTCAGTTTTTGTGCCAGTTAAAAGGGTAAAACCTATTCCTATTTCCCTATCCTCTCGTTTCCCACAACCTTGCTCAGTTCTACACCTTCAAGAGTGCACCTGGCTTTTTGGGCCTTTGCTCGGTAACTGTGAACAACAACAACAAAACGTTGCAACTGGCACCACAGCAACAGCCGCGAGAATGCGTCGCAGTAGACGGTCAACTCGGCACGTTGACGTGGTTGATGATTTTCCCGAAACCAGACGCCGTTCGCGCTTCGATGTTTGCATAATACACGTCAGCATGGGTAAACCCCCACACACACGGTCAGGGAAGTGCGTCACCACAGGCAGACCTAAACGCCCACAAGTGATGGGCGGAGACGCATGGAAAGTTATTGACGTTCTGGGTTTGCGTGAGCTTGTGACGGTGTGAAAATGCCCCCAGGTGTGCGTCTTCAGGTAGATTTATCGGGTGACTCGTGTTTTCGAAACTGGGTGTAGTCCACTCTTGGCGTGGTGCAACGCTCGAGTATCTTATTACATTCCTGGCTTTACAGTTAATTCCTCTTTAATAAGCGCCGTTTAATTCAAAATTGTAAATTCCATGTGAAGGATAAAATGTATTGGCCGTGACCTATCCACCACTGGATGAAGGGTCCGCCAAGCCAATGTCATCCCTCACGGTCCCACGTGAGCAACAGTCGGTCTAGTTCCTGCACAAGAACATTTTAATCACTCCGAATTCCACCCAGGCCATGCCCAAAAAATGTATGTCCTTCCAAACATATAAATTGTTTACGGGATTAAATAACATTTACAAGTCATGTATAGCATCCAAGAATGCATTTCGACTGCAGTGAACACATGCTCAGGAGAAATAAGGTGCACATGATTAGAGTTTTAATTATCAGAGTTACATCTCCTACTTTATGGAACATGCATATGATACATGTACACACGGCCCTGTCAATCCACTGCTGGATGAGTGTCTCCTCACACTTGGGTAATGTTTTTACCATATTTCACCACACTGGTCCGTGCATGCTGAAGGTGGGGAACACAGGTGGGGGAGCACGAGATTTGTATATGTTTGCTCCACATACCTTCTGCTGTTCACGACACTGCCCCAATCTGTAGCCTGGGACACCTGTGGTGTAAAGCAGTGGGCCCTTCCAGATGAGGCACTTGTGTACATGATTGAAAAATCGCTCACCTCGGTGTAAATTGTGTTTTTTTTGTCCTTTACAGCTGTCTTCCAAATCATCCAGAGTGTGAGGAGTGGATATTGAGGCAGTGCTGTGATGTCACTCCCCCATCACCACCGACTTCTGCTGCCACGATGTGGGAACGCATCGCCTTGCCACCCCACTCCCAGCCTCTTGCCAACACCCAAGCCAGTCTTTTAAACGCATGCTTTTAAGTGTTTATGTAAAATGTTTACAACACAAATGTGCCTTCAATGGAAAGTGAATTACTATTTATTCAAAATTGACAAATAAAAGCCTATTTCCTCGCTAAATTTTACGTGGCAGCTATAAACTGTTATTCTGAGAATGGTTGGGCTCTGACTGCACATTTGCTTATTAAGTTGTGGATCCACACATGCAGTGTTCAGCATGAACTCGCACTGGGAAAAACGATGCTACACTATTCATTGGTGCTGCAAATCATGCTTTCTATTAATATTGTAGTTTAATATACCTACTAAGGTCAAGGCTGAAATATGTACCGAATATCAATTGCAAGCAGCTTTGGTATACCAGGTGAAATGCTGGCTGCTTCAAAACGGACATGAAAAGTTGGAGACAGAATAGTTTGATGTTAGGGGACAGGGCATTCACCATGGTGTGGTCTCCTACTTTGTTTAACGTTGTGCTTGACTATTCACAAATGGCATTAGCACAGCAGAAAAACCAGGGACTTATAGGTGAGAAATGTATGCGATTTGGGAGTGTGCAGATGCAGGTTTGTTGACGAGGTATTTGGTCAAGGCCATTGTGTTATTGGCCGTCTTTAGGCAGAGGCTGGAAATCTCAGCCTCAAGTTTTCCTAACTGATTTCTAGTTAGAAACGACCCTCCTATAGGAGAATCATGAGTGAAGGTAGTAAATAAGGTTGTATAGGACTCGTGTACAAAGGCAATAATATCGATAATGCAGAGGGCTGAGTCAAGACGAATATTGCTTTGAGGGCTGGTGTTTGATGGGCAATGGAAACCACTTGGGAAATGAGACGTCTTGAGTGGAAAGTGGTAATCGAGGCAGGAGCGCTATCGGCTACTGTATGAATCTGAGATCTGGACTCAAACTTCCCGCTTTTGAGCACAGGTGTTTGAAATCTACGCTAGGAATTTGTTGCGAGTCGGGATAAGCAATGCAGAAGTTCGGAAGGGAACACTGCTGGAAAGTGCTGCCGATGAGGGAAAAACCGGTGGAATGTGTGCAGGACGCGGGATGGCTTATTACCAAGACGGGCATTAGAATAGTCTACATGAGTGGCGAGCAACAGGAAGAGACGACCTAACCAGCAGGCCTTGGAGGTCGTGTCCCGAGCAGCTGTGGTATCTGGCAGAGGGTGCAAAGTGTGAGATATGGTGGCATCGACGGATTTTGCCACGATCACATCTCGATGTGCGAGCAGGGTGGTTATATGCAGCCTATTGCATTGTTGCCAACATTTAAAAACTGCATTCATAAGAACCATTATGTCCACAATACAGGTTTTTTAGGTTGAATCGCATAAATATAAATGTGTCGTTAAACCCGCACCAATTTGTAAGGATTGTCACCTAAACAGAACGTGCCAATTCGTTACTGGTACAGCACAACGGTGTGCTGGAGAATAAATCCACAATATTTACAATCTGAGTACGACATTCTACCAGTAATTACAACTTACATCAGATGAGAGCCAGATATGTGGAGAAATCCTGTTTCGTTCCTTCAACTGCAGGATAGATGTGATGGCGTCACTTGTGAGGGCGTCACTTGTGAGCCCCTCACATTGCATATGTTGGTTACAGCGCACAATACTCCACGCGACTGAATGCTTTGCCTGCACACGAGAAAGTGGCTTCGACAACACTACCACCTTGACTTCCAGTGGTGTTTTGCGATCCGTGTTCCGAGCAGTTCTCGAAAAAAAAAACATTTCTGCGCAAAAAAAAATGAAACGACCATTTCTCATGTCATGTGATATTTAATTTCACGGCTTGCGTTACAAGCAGGTGGAGAAGGTCTCTTGCACATTATTAACTCATTCCCATTGTTACAGTAACAAACACGCATCGTCAATACCGCGCGAGAGGGGATTAGTAGGTTTATGTAAGCAGTACAAAATAACTTAAGTGGAACGGGTGTGGTGGTGTGAACAAAACAAGTTAAGGGAGAGAGGGTTGGTGGGTGGGAGTGATGAGCGGCGCAAATCAGCAACGACTTGAGAACAATCCACAGGCTTTGGAGGAGACGCTCGGTGCCCGTGTCGCTTAACCATGCGGCCGCGTGCGCTGAACAGGGCCTACGCAAAGGCCACGAATAAATAGAACGGTGGCGGCCGGAGGGGGGGGGAGAGCCGCGAGCTACGCGCAGCAGACGGAGCGACGCCGGTTCAGCGTTGCACGAGAGGCGATGAACAAAAAAAAGGTTGAACCCAACTTGCTGAGCGTGCTCTTGGCATCTTTGGTTGAATGTTCTTCCTTTTATGAACGTTATCTTTTGTCTTCATGTATTTCAAGTTTCGTAGCACTGGTTACAGGAGAGACGGCGGCAGATAATCGAAAGCGTACTGGAACGGGCAAAGTGAAACCTTAATCCGACTACAAAATGTTGCACAACTGCAACTGGCCAATGTACTTTAACTGCCATTCAAGTGCACAACATTTGAAACACTTGACCGTATCTACATGTTTCTGTCCAAAGGTACATTTTACATACAGTACATACATAACGTACAGAATATACACTTCTTATACAACCTGTTCACTCTATCGTCACCGTGTGCTGTGCCCCAAAAATGTGTACCCAGCGAAAAGTAACACTTGTGATGCTACAAGGACGACGTTCCTGCTCAGCCCACATCCCGCAAGGTGGGGGGGAGGGGGCGCAGGGGAGGGCACCGGACTGGTTTGTACCATTCTATGATATTTAAATCCCCGAAAAGGTGACGGGGACACTCTGCAAGTGATCATTTCTCTGCGGCAAGGACCCCTAGGTGCATTTGTGCGATACGACCCTCTTCCGAAGTCACCGCCGACTTTACCTTCTTCTTACCAACGAAATTCGAGCAAAACGCCCAAATAGTTCCTGAAAAGGCCTCGGTCGCAACTGTTAGCGGCGCCTGTAGGAAGCGTGCGCTGGCTTCATGCTGCTGGAAGCGACGCGCGTCGCGCTAGTCCCGCCGTGTGCTATGCGACACGACATGCTACACGACGCTGCTGCACCCCGCTATGGGGGACAGAGAAATATTGACCTACACGAGGAACAAAAAAATATATTTTTAAAGTGACACGAGCATAAAATTTAACAAATCGTGGACACTCGACGTGTCCCATCGTGTGTGTGTGTGACGTCCCGCTTGAGGAATTTAAAGGGCTTTAGCGAGGGTGGATTAACGTGTCTCCCCGCACCGCTGCGTTGGCAGCTCTGCGCCGGCGGCGAATGTATGTATGTATGTAGGTGGCTCAGTTTCGCGTGGTCACAGCTCGACTCGATCAAAACCCCAACTCTTCAGAAGGGGCCCTTTGCTCGCTTCCCCTTCGCCGGCTCGTTTACATCAGAAGCACGGGCACCAATTAACACGTAGCCTAGCATTCAATATACATCAGTCACCTTTAATTACTCATTTTTTTCATATAACTATTATTATGTACATGTCATCACAGTAACAGATGGCTGTCAGGTCCTTGTAAGCTCAGGCGGCGGAGTGACACGTGGGTAAAAAAAAAAACCTAAGAATCCTATTACAATTTGCGACGAGGAGGAAGAGGAGGAGTGGCTGTCGGTCTGTGCTCCGTCGTCTCTCAAGAGGCAGCCCCCCCGCCCCCCCCCCCCCCCCCCGTGGGTTGGGGGAGCAGGGATTAATTTCTCACCGAACACATTCCGGGCCAGCTGCTGATGGACTTGGGAGTAGGCACGTCAGTAGGAGCCACAACCGTAGCGAAACGTGTAGCTGGATGCTGCGTGCTAGGTGTGTGTAAATATTTTCCGGGGCAGCCGATCCGTACCATACAGACCCAGCTGAAATTTAGCCCCCCCCGCCCCTGCCCCCCCCCCTCACACGGACGGGAGCGCTGTGGCCGAGGGGGCGGTTGTCACTGGAGCCGCGGCGGCCGGCGGGGCCGCGACGGTGCACACCGCCGGGGTTCCACCGCCCGGTGTGGACGGCTGAGCACCACCGCCGACACTCGGCACGCTCACAATCTGGCTCTGGATTTGCTGCAGCTGCTCAGGGCTCGCCAGGCTCTTGAGCAGGCGGTTCTCCTGCTCCAGCTGGCTGTTCTTCTCGATGAGCTCCTTGATCTGCTCCTTGAGGACCTCCACCTCCTCCCGCACGGCATACATCAGGTGGGATTTCACCAGGTCCTGTGTGGCACAACGGGGGGGGGGGGGGGCAGCAATCAGTTAACATCTTAAGATCGCACCCACACTCTTAAAGACACCCCGTGGACGCGCCCCTGCCAACCTTTTTTCTCACTCGACTCCACCCGTCCCAACCCCTCAAGATAAAATCTCAACTTGTACTGCTTTAAATGACATGCCGAGCAAAAAAAAAATCTGACATCAGATATTTTCAAACACCGTTCAATGTCGCTATAAGTTGTCAGGAGCGAGCTGTGCACATCAATGAATTGTTGTACTATGCTCAAACATAAATGCTCTCCACGTTCAACAATCCACACAGACCAGCGCGGTGAAGTATGGTTAAATAACCCCGACGGCTCGCACGGCATGGGGAGAACCTCGTCCAGCAGCGGAATGCCAATTGGGCTGTATGTGTACGTACGATCAGAATCAGAATATTTATTTATACTGGAGCAATTCGATAAGCTATACATCTAATTTTGACAGAAGTTCAGTAGTTTTGCCACTACTGGACACCTGTACGAGCTTCGTCACTAAACCTAACTCGCTTCCCCCGGCGAAACGCTGCAGCAGAATTTTGGAACCATGAATTTTGGAACCATGTAACTTAGCAAAATCTTAGTTTTGATATGTGGATAATTAGAATGGATTCATTGACAACCTAGACACTTCAAATGATAATCACACAATTAACTGTTATTGGTCACAGACAAACTACAGGTGGTACCCACAAGGGATACATCTGGTCTGGACTCATGGACTATCAATCCCACACTTCCCGTGAGCGGTTAAGCTCGGCTATGGCTACCACGAATGCACAATCCACTCCAGCCGCAGGAATTACGCCGCTAATCCACGACACAGCAAGCTTAATGGCTTGTCATCTTGACAAAGGCCATCATCATCATCAGCGTAGTGTTTCAACATCCGGAGCACGTCTCTCCGGAAGGACACGGTGTGCCGCGGTGGCGAGATGTTAACTCCCTCGCCTGGTATGCAGGAGGTCGTCGGTTTAATCCTGGCCCTGACGCCTTCTGTATATTTGGCGTTTGCATGTATCTCTCTCTCTCCACGTGGTAACGAGAATTTTTCAACGGGTCCTCCGGTTTTTCCCTCCACATTTATAATCAACAGGCGTTTAGAGTATTCGGCTGCTATAAATTTCCACGTGATAAGCCACTTTGTCGAGCTATCATTTGTGATGGCCAGGTCGCTTCTGAAAAAGAGCGAAATATGCTCAGTGGGTATTAGATCTGGTATTTTTTAAAAAACGTTTTAGCTTTAGCTGCTGATGCCCTGTTTGTGCACAGTGCCCCACGCGTGAGGCTCGACCAACGTGGCACAGGTGCCCGCATTCACACGGCGCTTCCATACCAACAGACACCACAAGGTGTTGTGCGAGGCTTATCCCTGGCACACACCTGTGATGAGACGTACCATTACAAGTATGAATATGGTACATTTTGGACTTGTACTCGCACACCACTGTCGGTGCAGTCGCTTATTGCTTTCTTTACCCATCGCTAGAATTGGTTTTACTCGTCCAAGCAATTGGGGATATGCGTACGCTCGAGAGATTTGTACGTGGCGGGGCACAACATGCGCAGATCATGCGCAAGCCTTTCCTCCCACTAACATGCCAGTGCCCCCATCGAAAAGCGACTTTCGGCTCATTATGTTAGTACAGAGAGAGTGAAAAGGCAGAGCAACATTTCAGTCTCGTTACATCGATCAAATAAAAAAAAACTTATGTGCTATGAATCAGGGTCATTGCCCGAAACGTCGCCGAATGTTTTGTTACTTTTTCAGGCTGCGTTGTTAACGAGCGTGTTTTTTTTTAGTAAAGTCACTTTACCGAATAGAACCAAAGAGTATGGATCCTTGCAGTCACGAATGCTTCAAATCTAGAGTCTTGTTTTTTGTTAATTGTGCACCACTGCCAATAGCGCATCATCACATCAATTTGTTTAGATCAAATTAAATTAAATCAGGGGCACATTTGGTATTCGAGTCATGTTTTCATACACTGCTGCTGTTTCACAGACGGTCGATCTACAGTATTTTCACCTCAAAAGGCGACGTTTGATCCCAATCGAGTATATCTCGCGGGTACATTTTTCCAATTTGGCAAATTTGGACCACAAAAGCCAGCACACAATGCGCGACTCTTTTCGAGTGATGTCACGGCCACTCTCAAGCAGACGACGCGTACACACCCGCAGTATTAACACGACCGTCTCTGATACACACACACACACACAGTATTTGTACTTGGAATAAAATACGTCTCCGCCAATGTGCTACATACTAATATTTACACACACACACACACGACACCTTGCGGGTAGCAGATAGCATTGGGCGTATCCGTTGTATTGAATCTCCTCTATGCTCTCCCACGTCTACGCTCCCCCGCCTTCACCAACCAGCGCTGCTGACCAGCTCGGCGACGTTTGGCCCAACAATCCGTGTGTGACTTGCACGGTGTCGGAGGAAGATCCCCTAAACCAGCAGTTGTGGTTTCGAGAGGGCTGGACCACTCTCCACTTGCCAACTAAACATCGGAGGACTCCGCTCCTCGGCCTTTATAGGCAGAACAAAAATAGCCAACGCCCCCACCCACCAATGGGGAAGCGAACATGGCTCGTGACGTCACCAAAGCTTTCTGCTTCTCGTGGCAATGGTGACATCACCGGGGAAACCCCCCCCCCCGGCCACCCCCTTACCCCTCCCCTCACTGGCCCCTCCCCCCTCTCAGTCACTAGCACCACCCCCTTCCCCCTAGCCCCACCCCTCTCCCCCCCTAGCCCCACCCCTCTTCCCCCCCTAGCCCCACCCTCCTCTCTACCCAGCGGCCCTCTCCTGCCAGACCCGACAGCTCACACAGCATTACATAACAGCAGTGGGCCCCCTTGCACGCCTTGTAAACGCAAATTAAAGTGGGTGATCTCATACGCGAAGTGGCAGATGGACTTCAGTTCTAAATGAACATACGTTATAGTATCGAGCAACGCCGCCGCCGCCACAACAATCGTCCGCCTGGCACCCGGATACGAGCTCATCTTAACGCTCCATCTCTCCGCTGTTCGCGCTCTCGGCGGCACGCCGTTCCATTTATTGGCTGGTCACTCCGGTTATTAGTCTTAACGCTCCGGCCGTCGTGACTCGATGACGCGTCCTGCCTAAACCCACTTACTTTCCTTAACGGTCTCGAAGATGTATGTCATTAGCCTCTCATGCGTTCCCTACGCCACGGAAATTGCAAGCATGCATCTCCGCATAGGCACGTGTATTAATTTAAAAGACCATGTTACAGTACTATATAGGGAGGCGCGGTGAAGTATGGTGAAACAACATCCACCATCCGCACGGGGGTGGGGAGGCCATCATCCAGCAGTGGATTGGCAGACGGGTTGTGCGGACACATAGATATACGATTCAGAGTCGCCCTGAGGGTACGCGGAATGCGGCGGATTGGGGCAAACGCCCCGAGCCCCGCACTTTGGGGGGTGGGGGGATCCCCCCCCACCCCCCAAAGGAAGGGGTCCACACAATTGGGTTTGCCCGGGGTCCCGCACCCACCCCCTATGGATGGCCCTAATAAGATTACATACCAGCGTATCTATATAAATCATCTATCTACGCATGCACACATAACAGACATCTGCTACAATTATGCGTATACTATTAAAATGCATTACGTACGCTTCCTTAACGATAACGGATTATGATAGTGCTCGTATGCAGTACTCCGCATGGGATGGAATGCATCCCGTCGCTGTACAATACCGCGCTTGCGTAGTGAGTCCAACCGAGTTGCAGACGTTATTTTGGGAGCAACACTTTTATTCGCACTAACGCCAACACAACATAATGTAATCTACACACGGGTGTTGAACGCCCATCTAACCATGCTACGGCAGAACTAGACACGGTCCCCGCTATCCCGGTCCGGACCACGAGCTGGGTCCCGGACCGCATGGCTAGAGGCTTCTTCAACCCAACGTGGATCTTCGTCACCAACAATCGGAAGAACCCTGAGTCCCACACGGGGCCCCCGTTATATCGGCCCGGGCTGGGGCTGGCTCTGCCTCCCACCCCGCCCACCTTCTCGATCTCTCTGGCCCTTTCCCGAAGGCTCCCGAGAGCTCTTCTATACCACGTGACCACCCAGCGGCCCCCCCCCATCCACCGGTGGCCCCCCCTCCAATATCATCCGGTCACGTGTCGGCAGGTCAACCGGCGTATCATGCCCCAACGTAACCCTGGCTGGCTGACACTCTCTCTCGCTCCCTCACCTAGAGACCGCACCGCACACTGTACGTGGTGCCTCTACGCTAACCAGCGCTCACCCAAGCCCCGCTAGGGCCAGTAACCAGTCTGCACATAATGACAACATTATCCGCCGTGGCCTCGCAGGCCCGGCACCACACAGTGACAGTCACAGTCACTACACATGCTCCGAGTATTGTATACAAGCAGCTTACACACGTGCAACATTGACAAATACAGTGGAGGAATACTGTTCAGTTGCATTGCATACACTTGCAAGTAAGAATGCAAACACGTGCACATTGCAAACACAACGCATACTATTCAACTTAATTATTTACATTTAAATGCGTTCATTTTTATGTATTACGTTTGTAGGGGGTAATGGACGCCGGGTGTGATCCCAATTGGGTCATTTACGGGGTCATGCTTAGAATCTGGACCGTGGCCGACTCTTCAAAAAGTACGTCATGGGATCTTTAACGTGCGTGCTGTCAAGCAGACGGCGCTCAATTTTGTTGGCGAATACATCCGCAGTATTAACCAGGGCGGCCGCTGGATTCGAACCAGGAACTAAATTGAAATATAATCCGAACAATTTTTCATTTTACCACGTGTAAGGCCCCACTGAGCAACACATCTCTTTTGCAGAAGCGACCTGGCCACAAATGATAGCCCAAAGACGTGGCTTATCACGTGGAAATGTACAGGAGCCAAATACTCTGAACGCGTGGTGATTCTAAATGTGGAGGGAAAAACCGGAGGACCCGTTGAAAAATCCACACGACCACGGAGAGACACGCAAACTCCAAATATACAGGTGTCGGGGTAGGGATCGAACCCACGACTCCCTGTATAACAACTGAGGTAGTTAACATCTCGCCACCAAGGCGCCTCGTTGCAGAACCTTTGCAACAAGAGGCGAACATGCTGCCCCAAGGCAGTGCCATCGCCCCATATTCATTTACATTCAAGCAAACGGATTACCACATGCAGGTAAAGACAATGTACACTGTAGATGTAATTGCGATTGTGCGGCGTGTGTGTACATCTGGTGCGGAGTGTAAACATCGGCACTAGCGAGACAAAGGCGGCCAGGAGTGGTACTGGCCATACCACTCACTTCATGGTGCTCGCTGATAGCACTTGTCCCAAACGCCTGTCCCCAGGCTAAACAGGGGTTATTTGTCTTTGCAGGATATATGCGTGAGGGTATATGTGAGTGTGGCTATCTATGCCTTTGTGTGCGTAACTCTGCGTATATGCTTCTGTGGGTATATATATATGAGCATGTGAATGAGAGCGTATGAGTGCGGCTATATATCATCGTGGGCATATATGTGCGTGTGCATGCATGAGTGCATGCGGCCGTACACGTCCACATATGTTGGCATGAGAGTACGAGCGTACGTGCGGATTTGTACGTGCGTGCGTACGTGTGTGGCAACGCATGTGCAATGGGAGTGTGCGCGTGCGCGTACGTGCGCTGTGCGTGTCGTGATTTAGACTCACCATGGCTTGCTCGATTTTGTTGTCAATGGCAACCACGCTCGCACCGGAGGCACTGCAACGCAAAGGAAATCACCGCGGTGAGATTGGCGCTCCGTCACCTCGCATCGTTCTCGCCGCGTCGCTCGCCTCAGCTCTCTCGCGACCGCCTCCTCCTCCTCCTCCTCTATTCCTGCCACCGTAGTCGTGTTATTATTATATAAGATTACGACTATCGCTATCATCACTACCGCCGCCGCCGCCGCCGCCGCTGCTCTTTGATACGAGTGTACAATTAAAATAAACAACGGAGGAGCCAAGGACGACGGTAAGGCAGGGCGAGACGGCTGGAGAACGCAACGCTCTCACACAGCACACCCCGGCCAACAACAAAGGCTTTCGATCAGCTCCTGCAAGAGCGGGGGGGGGGGGGGTGACGTCACCACCAGCAGCAGGCGGAGCACAGCGGCAGCGGGAGCAGGAGGTGCCAGGTGTCATCATCACGAGAGAAAAAAACAAACCAGTAGCAGCAACAGGAACATCCACGGCAGCAGGAACAGCACAGAACCAACATGAACATCAGTCAGCAGCAACTACATGCGCAGCAGCAGCAATATCAGAAACAGCAGGGGGTCAATGAACAGCAGCAGCAGCAGTAGATGACGATGTTGGTGATCAGCAGCAGCAGCAAACACAGCAGGCATAGAAACAATTAGTAGCAGCAGCAGTAGAAGAACCATCAACATCGGCAGGAGCAGAAACCATACAGAGTTAAGCATCAGTAGTTGTATAAATAGCAGCAATAACAGACCCAGGATTATCAAACAACAGCAGAAAAACAGGACTAAAAAAAAGAGGCATCAGTGTTGTCGCAGAAATATCAGCAAGGGCAGCAGAGTAGCAGGAACGGCACCTAAAGCAGGAGCATAAATAACAAGGTCAGTAGCAGCAGACATAGCGGCAGGAACCTAACCAAGAGATCCGGCATCAGCAGCAGCAAACACAGCGGAAGCAGCAGCAATAACGAGCAACGGCAGTGACGGAGCAGCAGTGGGATAGAATGTCACTGCCCGACAAGACGAGAGCGGGCCTCGTATCGGTTGGCTTACAAGAGAAGCCATTGTGCTTATTAGAGGTGAATGCCACGCGGACTGGGACAGGTGACAAGAAGGGCCGATGGACGAAACCGGTGACAGAATGGCAGCTAAAGGCAAGAAGGCGGCCGTGAGGACGACCACCCCACAAGGGTGGGTGGTAATTAGATCAGCTCAGGTGCAGCAGCGAGATGGATTGTGGCGTCGCGTGACCGCGAGTGAATGTGAATAGATAGCACGATCGCGATGCATGCGTATGCCCATATGTACGCGAACACGTACATACGTGTGTGCCCGAGAGGACGTACAGCATTTGTTGACGTGCATGTATATTACGGAGCTATGCAATCAGTTCGCGCACAAGAGGCCGACTGGCACCGTAGGCCCGGCGAAAGACGCTGGCGGTACAGAAAGGCCTTCATCCAGCAGTTGATAGCCCATGGCTCACGTATGCATGTTGAACTTCTTTCGCACCGTACGCAGCCAACCGTGCTATTCATGACGACGACGACGACAATGATGATGATAACGATGACGAATGTGCACGTGCGTGCCTTCGTCCAACAGTGCAGGAGACGGTGGCTCAGGATGACAGACACGTGTCGTGGCAGCTTTTAGAGAAGTGAAATCGATGGGCCCCGGCCGGCATGGCCCCGTTCATTGCTCTACGCTGCACACGACAGCACAAAGCAACAGCCCCGATGGGGTAGAGTGTGGCGGGGGGGGGGGGCTGTATCCATCACGACAGCGCACCACGGCTGTGGTGGTGGCCGCTGCAGGCATTTTTGGTATTCGGCAATCGGTAACGCAAAACGCTGGGTGGTGGCGGCGGTTAATTGGCGGCATTGGCACACGCACAATAGCCTCGCGTTGCCGGCGGCGCGATAGCAGACGGCCGTAAGCAGCAGCAGCAGACACCGACAGCACGGCAACACGGCAGAACACAAACAGTGACAGCCAAGGCTCACAACAATGGATAGAGCCGACAGCGTGCACAGCAGCAACAACCGTTACACACCATAATGGACAACGGCAGTAAGAGAGACAGCAGCAATATCCAGGATATATACAGCAATCCAGGAGTGAAGACAGAACGAACAGTCACAGCCAGGATGAACGTTGTTCAGAGACAATAGAAACAGCCAGGACACACAACAATGGACACTGACAGCAGACACTAACAATAGCTGCTATACACAACAATGGACAATGACAGCAAACAATAACAATAGCCGGTAGATACAGCAATGGACACAAACAGCAGGAAGTAACAATAGCCGGTATATACAGTAATGGACACCAACAGCAGACAATAGGTGCAATACACAGAAATAAAATACACAGCAGACAACGGCAAATGACACAAACAGCACACATTAACAATACACACACAGCAACGGTTCCCACAGCAAACGACACAGCAGACAATAGACCACAACAACAGTCACACACGCGCAGAGCAGGGGACAGCAGCAACACGGCGAACAGCAAAACACGCCGAACGCGGTCACAACAACAAACAACAGCAGCACCAGCAAAACAGTGGCAAGCACCGGCGAAGGACAGCAGCAGCCGACGACGCTGCTGCTGCTGATGATGATGATAGCCGAGCCCCGGGGAACAGTCGCGCGACAGTGCCGCCACCAGCAGCAGCAGCCGGCACGGCATTTGACCGAGCCGAGGAGGGGTTCGACACGGACGGAGCGGGGTTGGAGTTGGGTGGACTGCGCTTACGTCGGCGGCGGCTGCGGCGAGGGGAGAGGGGGGTCACTGCGGCCGAGCAAGAGCGCGGGCGAGGATGCCAGCCAGCTCTAACTAGCCCGCGGCACGCCACAACACATCGGCACCCGCTCGATCGCTCGATCGAGATCTTCCCCCCCCCCCCTCCGCGTGCGATCTCGCTCACTGCCTCGTCATTTCAAAGCACGGGCGGGTCCGTAAGAGTTGTGCGCGACGGGGAGGAGAGGGGCGTGCGTGCGCGTGTGCGTGGGACGGGATGCACGACAGGGTGTGTGTGTGTGAGAGAGAGAGATGTGGTTGGTGGTGTGCGTGAGTCAATGTTGTACAAGACGGTGTGTGTGTGTGAGAGAGGTGTGTGTGTGTGTGTAAGAGAGAGGTGTGTGTGTGTGTAAGAGAGAGGGGTGTGTGTATGTGTAAGAGAGAGGGGTGTGTGTATGTGTAAGAGAGAGGTGTGTGTGTGTAAGAGAGAGAGGTGTGTGTGTGTGTGTAAGAGAGGTGTGTGTGTAAGAGAGAGGTGTGTGTGTGTGTGTAAGAGAGAGAGGTGTGTGTGTGTAAGAGAGGTGTGTGTGTAAGAGAGGTGTGTGTGTAAGAGAGGTGTGTGTGTAAGAGAGGTGTGTGTGTAAGAGAGAGGTGTGTGTGTGTAAGAGAGAGGTGTGTGTGTAAGAGAGGTGTGTGTGTAAGAGAGAGGTGTGTGTGTAAGAGAGGTGTGTGTGTAAGAGAGGTGTGTGTGTAAGAGAGAGGTGTGTGTGTGTAAGAGAGAGAGGTGTGTGTGTGTGTGTGTAAGAGAGAGAGGTGTGTGTGTGTAAGAGAGAGAGATGTGTGTGTAAGAGAGGTGTGTGTGTAAGAGAGAGAGGTGTGTGTGTGTAAGAGAGAGAGGTGTGTGTGTAAGAGAGAGGTGTGTGTGTGTAAGAGAGAGAGGTGTGTGTGTAAGAGAGAGGTGTGTGTGTAAGAGAGAGAGGTGTGTGTGTGTAAGAGAGAGAGAGGTGTGTGTGTAAGAGAGAGAGAGGTGTGTGTGTGTAAGAGAGAGAGAGAGAGAGGTGTGTGTGTGTAAGAGAGAGAGAGATGTGTGTGTAAGAGAGAGAGGTGTGTGTGTGTAAGAGAGAGAGGTGTGTGTGTAAGAGAGAGAGGTGTGTGTGTGTGTGTGTAAGAGAGAGAGAGGTGTGTGTGTAAGAGAGAGGTGTGTGTGTGTGTAAGAGAGAGATGTGTGTGTGTAAGAGAGAGAGGTGTGTGTGTGTAAGAGAGAGGTGTGTGTGTGTGTAAGAGAGGTGTGTGTGTGTAAGAGAGAGGTGTGTGTGTGTAAGAGAGAGGTGTGTGTAAGAGAGAGGTGTGTGTGTGTGTAAGAGAGAGAGGTGTGTGTGTGTGTAAGAGAGAAGTGTGTGTGTGTGTAAGAGAGAGGTGTGTGTGTGTAAGAGAGGTGTGTGTGTGTGTAAGAGAGGTGTGTGTGTGTGTAAGAGAGGTGTGTGTGTGTGTAAGAGAGGTGTGTGTGTGTGTAAGAGAGAGGTGTGTGTGTGTAAGAGAGAGAGGTGTGTGTGTGTAAGAGAGGTGTGTGTGTAAGAGAGAGGTGTGTGTGTGTGTAAGAGAGAGAGGTGTGTGTGTGTAAGAGAGGTGTGTGTGTAAGAGAGAGGTGTGTGTGTGTGTAAGAGAGGTGTGTGTGTAAGAGAGAGGTGTGTGTGTGAGAGAGAGGTGTGTGTGTGTAAGAGAGAGGTGTGTGTGTGTAAGAGAGAGGTGTGTGTGTGTAAGAGAGGTGTGTGTGTGTAAGAGAGGTGTGTGTGTGTGCGACTGCGAGCGTGGGTGTGCGTGAGACGCGGCTGACACAAGCAGCTCGCGACCCCCCCCCTCCCCCCGGGCCCTCCCCCTGCCTTGGGAGCCAGGAACCGGTTCAAGCCGGTTCTCACGGGGCTGTGCGTGACGTCAGGGCCCCCCCCCCCCCCGCCAGGAGGAATAAAACGATCGGCGCGGTTCGTGATGCCGCAGCACCACCGACTGCCTCTCGCTGCTGCTGCTGCCCTCCCTCTCCGCTGCCCTCTCTCTGCTGCCCCCTCTCTCCGCTGCTGCCCTCCCTCTCCGCTGCCCTCTCTCTGCCGCCCTCTCTCCGCTGCTGCTGCCCTCTCTCTCCGCTGCTGCTGCCCTCTCTCTCCGCTGCCCCCTCTCTCTCCGCTGCTGCCCTCTCTCTGCTGCCCTTGTTGGTTCTCATGGCGAGCCGCGTTTGCCGCTGCGGACGTGGGCTTGTGTGGGAGTAACG